CGGCTTCAGAAGAAGAACAAACATGGAGGACGATCAACGTCATCACCTGGCTCTCCTGGCGTACTTCCTTTTTTGCAGTGAAAAACAGAAAAGAAATCTTGGCTGAGAAAACGCTATAGTCTTCTTTCTCAATCCTCCACTTTCGTGACATGTTTGTGGCTGCCATGTTTCAGCTATAAAAGCGTGCAACATCCGGTTGGTGGAACTTGTTGCTCTCATTGGATATTGCAGGTATCCCGTCGGAGGAAGCCCGATCAAGAGTCGTAAATATCGAACATGTTTGATATTTGCAATTTGGCATCGGGGAAGCTCCGACGCGATCGGGAGCAGTAAAACAATCGTAATGACACCACAAAATTGAGGATTTTTTTGGGACAAAAAGTCAGTTGCGACAAGCCTCAAATCTGGCCACGCCCCCGATCATTGGGGGTGCAAATCGTGCCCAAAATCTCTTAATTTTAAAGTGGTTTGGCGAGCATAAGTCAATTAATTCAGTCTCTTTGTTCACACTGTCATTCAATATTGAAAATGTATATAGTTGATATCATAGCCATGATGAATTCTGCATTTAGAGGTAAATATAAAAAGTAGGGCTGTCAAATGATTAATCGTGATTAATCACATCCAAAATAAAAGTTTGTTTTACATAATATATGTGGGTGCACTGTGTATAATTATTTTATATATATATAAATACACACACATGCTTGTATATATTTAAGAAATATTTTCATGTATATACTGTATATAGATTTATATATAATTTATATTATATATAAATATAAATATTTTATATATAAATAATATTTTTTTCTTAAATATACATGCATGTGTGTGTGTGTATTTATATATATATATATATATATATATACACAAAATAATTATACACAGTGCATCCACATATATTATGTAAAAAAAACTTTTATTTTGGATGTGATTAATTGTGATTAATCATTTGACAGCCCTAATAAAAAGGTAAACTAATATGGCTTCATTGCAGTAGCATACATGCTAATCGGTTTCGGACAACTGCAAAAACAAGTTAAAACAGTTTTAGAAGAAAATGACTTCTTGGAAAAATTGGAAAAAGCTCTAACATATGTATGACTTTTTGTAACTTCTCTGGTTTGCCTAACATCAAAATGTGTCGGAGCCTATACTGAACTTATTTTTTTAAATAAAAGATCAAGGAAAATGTAAATTTTCATGGTATGACCACTTAAAAAGTGCTCTAGAATATATTTTTGCTGACTGCAGAATATCAAAAGCATGACAACTTCTTATCAAAGTGTTTTTCCACTCTGAATGCAAGTCAGCATCATTTAGCTTTTCTCCAGATCCTGTTGTGCAAGACCTTAACGAAACAGGTCATGACTAAGGATAAGAAAAATCAGCTGGCGGTCTGTAGGCTCTCTGAGCTCGTTTCTTTTGATCATGTTCATTAAACGTGGACAGCATGAGTCCTTAAGCTAGGTAGACAAGAGACACTGTACAAAGTGATGTTCAGCTTTCAGCCTTCATAAACAAGGTGATGCATGAACGCGTGAACTCTCCAATCAAAAGCCTAACTGAAAAGAAGTGGCTAATCTCGCCAGCATGTCAAACTGTCCTTTTCTCACCCACCATCCCTTTGAAGGTGGAGACGAGGTAAAATGTTATGCATACTGATAGATTCCAGCTTCTCTGGAATTCCCCCCTCCTTCCCTCCTCTCCTTTGCTCTTTCTCTTCATCTCTCATATACTAGGCCCTCAAGACTTCTTGGCTGCTGTGATATGAATTAAAGATGAATCTTTCTTTTCCCTCTATAACTTTCTCAGATACTCAGTGTCCTCTGATACTTTTTCTCCTTCAAAAATGGAATCGTGTTTGGCGTACTTGCAGAAATTAGTCAAGCCTCTCTCTAGACTTGACTTGCAGGCAAGCCTAACTCTTACTATTGCTGATATTTGGGGTTAGGGATTTGAAACAGACTCCTAACCCTAAGTATTACACCTCGGCATGCAACGTCTCTCAATGCTTGCCTTACAGACATGATGGCTCAAATTGTGTGGCTTGTTGAGGAAAGCTGTGCTGTGCAGTACAATTTAGTTTTAGTGGAGATTTGGGCACTTTTCAGCTGGTCAGGCTGGGAAACCCGCTTGCTGACTGGTTACAAGTAAAGCCAGCTACGACCACCTCAGATCAGACCTGAAAACCAGTATTTTTCACAAATAAAGAAATAGTTAAAATATGAATAAAAAGGAAGTAAACACTGGGCACTCGGTTATCTGGTTAGTTTGTATGCACTGGGAATGCACTTTATTTTTTTTTAAATAAACAAGGTAAATACGCAGACAAGGTCAGTTTACATACAACAGACATTAGCCAGGTTTACCTTACAGATTTGCGCAAAACTTTTACAATATTTTATAAATGTCGGTAAAAAAACGATTGCGAAATGACGTAATTTCCATTAACTGATGTTAGGAGACTAAAACGTAATTTTTTCCTTTCGCAATAAGTCATTCCAAAAATCATGGCAATGGATGTTAGTAGGTTTAAGTATATCGCAGCCACTGCACTAACCATGATTTTTAATCGAATGAGACGTAGGTGTGTTATCCAATCATTAATGGCACATTAATGGCAAGGAAAGCCCCTTAAACTTGGGAGCGGCTACACATTTCTGGGTGTTTCTCCCTCCTATCTGCTCCTAGGTCTTGATAAATTGTGGCATTTCTTTGTTAAGAATCCTGTATTCCCTTAATACTTTTGTCTTTTATGAGTTTAGTATCTCGTCTTCTGTCCAAACATACCGCGCTATCGTTAAAAAATGATCATGTGACTTTTACGTACGCCAGGTGACCTGTAAATGCAAAAAACTGTTTCCATTTCAGTTTTGAGAAATTTCTCGAATTGCCTGAGAAATGCGAGTGGGCAAACGTTTTTGCGATATATGGGAGTTTTTGCAAAATTGTCATGTTTCCATAGGGCATAGTTTTCAATTTGCAATTTCAATTTGCACAATTTGAAGGGTAATGGAAATGCAGCGTGAAAATGACATGAATATGGCATAGTGGGCAACTGAATGTATTGCAGCATAGTTTGAAATCGCGGATTTAAAGTCTGCAAGGTTTGTGAAATTATATTTAAAGACTTTTTAAAATTATATAAATGCGAAAACTGAATGCTGACAGTAAATGAGAAAGTATTATAGTGTTTGACTTTCTATTACTAATAATATAAAAAACTATAAATTAACTATAATAAAACTATAATAAAAAGCTATAATACTTTTTTGTATTACGTTTCCTTTACTTTCTTCGTATTAGACTTCTAAACAGAGACGTAAACTAATAAATAAGGAGAGTGGGAGCGCTGTGTGCTCAGGTGATGGTGTTCTCATCGCCGTCAAAATAAACGTCCTGATTCCTACGCATCAACCAAACAAAAAAACTTATCGGATGATGCCGATATTTAAAAATGTACAAATATCGGCTGATATATCGCCATGGCGATATGCCGGTCGACCACTACACACAACACCCTAGCAACCACATAAAGCTAAAAAGCTTTGAACACATTAGCAGTTGCATAGCAACTCCATGGCAACCACCCTAACAATCACATAGCATCCATATAATATTGTGCTTAATACCACTCGGAACACGTTGGCAACCACACAAAATGTTGGAAAACATTCCGAACACCTCAGCAACAGTATAGCTACACCCTGGCAACCACATGCAATAATCTAGCATCATGGTATTGAGTTCTGCAGTGGAGGCACCACACGGTTTCTTAAGAAAATGAAAATCTAGTTTTTATTGCATCAGATGATTCTTTATTTTCTCTGTTTTGTTCAAAGGTTGATAACTGAATGTAACCACAGATGCTCGTGTCTTTCGAGTGGTTGATTAAAGCGGTGTCTGTTTTCTTGGTTTCATGATTTCATCAGTAAAACCAGAAAGGCAACAGCTACAGGCATCATGCATAATTTAGCACCTAACTTCTTCACATCTCTATTTTACTTTTTTTATCAGCGCTCTCATATTCACACACACACACACACACACACACACACACACACACACACACACACACACACACACACACACACACACACACACACACACACACACACACACACACACACACACACACCTCTCTCCCTCTCCCTCCATCTCTAATCTTGATAATTCCTAGGAACGCTCTAGTCATTCTCATGTTATCTTACGGCAGTCAGCGTCGGCCAGTAAACAGTGAGTCAGACACCCAGAGACCGACACAAACACCAGCACAGGATTTTAATGATAACAGGAGCCCACGTCTGGCGAGCTTTGGTATGTTTTATCAGCCGCTGTTCTTGCGTTTGCCACTCGTATGCTGGCATTCTGACTTTTCTGATGTAAACTCCAGCATTATTGGATGTTTCGTGGTCTTAGATGCGCGTCTTTTATTGCCCTGGACCAAAGCCTGGCAGTCTCACTCAAGCATCCTTCACTGCCTGTGTGAAGGTGGCAGGACTTTGATGAACAAAAGAATGTATTTGAAGCCTGTGCTTCCTGTGCTGCATGGTGATGTGCGGCAGTAGGTATTCTTTGTGGTGTTTTTCTGTTAACTTAACATTTGTCTTCTCTCTCTCTCTCTCTCTCCCTTTATTTCTCTATCTTTATTTTTCCCTCCTGATCCCCATCTGAATCACCTCCTCTCTCTGGTTTCCGCTAACACTGACTATCTTGCTTTGCCTTCTGACTCTCTTCCTTCCTTTTCATGTGTTGCTCAACTTTCCATGCCCCTCTCCCTCTTCCTTACTGTCTTTCCCCGTATCTTCGCATCCTTCCCATAAATCTCTTCATGCACGCTGCCTTCACTTTTCTGACTTTGCATTTCTGACTAACTTTTATCCCTGTTGTTTACGTTCCTGCCCGTTCCATCCATTCTAAATTCTCTTTCTTCATGCATGCTGCATTTTAACTGCCTCCCTCTCTCTTTCTTCTTGATCTCTATCTCTTTTCAGCAGGTGAGGGGGTGCCATGCCAGCTGCTGCTCCCCTGTTGCTGCTCCTCGCCATCTTGTGGTGGCCTCTGGTAATGCCTCTGGTCCCCAGTCATCTTCAAAGCCCCCCTACATTCATCTCCCTCAATGGCTCCCGCCTCAATCACCTCCTGCTCGACAGCCACTCGGGCCATGTCTACGTGGGTGCGGTAAATGTGCTCTATCACCTTTCCCCAGAGTTGCAGCTGCTCTCTTGGGGCAAAACTGGGCCTAAACTAGACAGCCCAGACTGCCTACCACCCATTGACCCCACTGATTGCACCCAGGCGGAAACCACAGACAACACTAACAAGCTTCTGTTACTGGAAGAGGTCAAAGGAGGGTATCCACTCAGCCTGATTGTGTGTGGGACGGTCCTGCAGGGCATCTGCGAGAAGCGAAACTTGGAGAATGTCTCTCAGGTGCTGTATAAGACTGACAACCCTGTGGACACACAGTATGTGGCGGCAAATGACCCTCGAGTGTCCACTGTTGGGGTGGTGGTGGAGCAGAAAGGTGTTCTGCTTATGCTCGTTGGTCGGGGATACACCAGCAAAGGACCTGGCGGGATCCCACCAATCACGATGCGGCGCTTAGCCCCAGTTGCCCGTCATTCTGCACCAGCATTCTCTCACGAAGAACTTGGAAAGCTGGTCGTTGGTAGCTACTCTGAATACAACAACCACTTTGTGAAAGCACTCCACCACAACAACTATGTCTACTTTGTGTTCTCTCGACGCGACGTGTGGGGCAAACGAGAGTATCGGACATACGTTTCGAGACTCTGTGCAGGCGACCCCAACTTTTACTCTTATGTGGAGGTGCCGCTTTCCTGCGGTGGAGGATACAATCTGGCACAGGCAGCCGTGCTTGGGACACACCGTGAGCAACCTGCGCTGTTTGTGGCCATGGCTATGGGACAAGCGTCGACTCCCACACCCACAGACAGGTCGGCGCTTTGTGTGTACATGGTGGAGAAGCTGGATAAAGCCCTGCACGGCGCCCAGCTACTTTGTTACACACAGGAAGGCAAAGACGGCAATAACAAGGAGAAGGCGTACATTGAGTACGAAGTGTCCTCCAGTTGTCTGAAGCTCCCGCAGGTAAGTTGTTGGCCTGGGTTTTTGCAGTCATTCCTCAAATAGGATTACAACCCCCTGAAATTCATCATGTTGTTCTCAAAGGGCCTTTGATGACTCTGCCAACTGATCCAACAAAATTTAAATGTAGCTCTTTGCCAGTTTTTTTTTTCAGGATCTAGTTCCCTACACCCCTTCCACCATTCAAAATCAGTTCCGCTTTAGACCCCTTCAAATAACAGCTTAATTTAAACATTAGCCAATAAGATAGTGGTGTAGGCTGTTTTTTTTGCGGTAGCATGCAATTAGGTATCCGCTTATTTTGCCAATCTCTGACAGTTGTACCCGCCTACCTCAGCATGGCTTCAAAATACTTTCTACTAGCAGACGAAGGGAGTGGTTCCATGAATGTAGCGGCTTTAAATGAGGGGTAAATCCGCAGCTAAACAGCGATAAGTAGGAATATAGGGAAAGCCACAAGATATCGTCCCATTAGCCGGGTCGTGTAAGACAGCATAGCGTGTGGTTTCTTGGCGACAGATCAGGGTCAGATGGGGCTTTTTTGCGACGGGTGTAAGTCTGGGCGAGTGGCAGCTGCCTCAGTGCTGACACAGATTAGCGTCCAGCTGCCTGCGCCAATGCTAATCCGCACGGCATAACAAATGCAGCGGTATCTCCCAAACTTCTGCATGTCACTGGGCTGATTCTAATGATCTGCTCTGTGAATTTCAGAGATATTTCCATATTTAGTTTCTGCAACTGTAATGCAAGGGCCATTTAGCGTAACAAAACAAGTTAGTGAACTGTAATTTTGGGTATACAGTGGCAATTTTGGGTATACAGTTTTGTTAGGAGGAGGAAAGTAGGTATGGGGACTAATGGAGAATGGTTAATGTTCAATTCATGTGTCTCTTGCTGTGTGGAAGGGGGTAGTGTGTATTAGTATGAGCTTGGGAATGAAAAGGAGTAGTGTGTATGTGTGTAGCCTCTGGGAGGTGGTTAAATCCAGCTTAACGCTGCAGCTGGTTTGAGTTTCGCTGACCCACATCCTCTCTGAGCTCACTGGCCCAGTGACCAACACCCACAGAAGCCCACTGAACCGATGACCTCAAAGAAATAATAATGTCACCACATTTGCGGTGTACAGTTCACTAGAATGTCTAATATATGACTTCTGTCTGCTAGTCAGCTAAAATCTGCAATTGCTGATATTATGTAATTATCAAATCAGTTTGGAGAAAGTCACCAAGTGCATAATAATTTAAACGCTTATGTTCAAACCTGTGTGACTTAGAAATTATAAAGATAGTACAGCAATGCATGGAAACTACAGACTAGAATGCATGGGAATAAGAGAGTTCTCCTTTTGTACACAATGTCCAGAAAGGGTTATTAAAAAAGTAAATGGGGTTAGTTATTTCATTTTAACGTTAAGTTCATAATGTTCATGTTGCAATTTTAACAGTTATTGCCATCTCAATAATTCATAGGAAGAATTGCATAATGGCTGCTATGATCTTGTTTCAAAGCAGTAGGTGCGTTTGGTGTTTCTGTATTTGACCTCCTTTGACTTCAATTGCGTGCCACCGTTCCACTGTCCCGTGTGGCCACTCCCCTTGGTCTGTTAGCTGAGGTATTGTGTCCGTCCGTCCACTGACAGCTGCAATTCTAGAATAGCATTAGGTCAGGACACACAGGCCCATGGCTGGCTCCAGTGAGTGCATCTAAAAATCACTCCCAGCCATGGATAGATGATGGGTTGTGTTTGACAGACATCATTATAAAAGCAGCTGAGCTTTTTTAGTATTGATTTTTATGCACATGGCAAGGACAGGATGTTTCTGGCACTATCCAAATGTTAAAAAGTTGACTTTGGAAACTTTGTACTTACCCAGTTTTTAGAGCTCAGACTTAATATTCTACTTGCATTTTGGATATTAATTGTCTATAATGTCGCCGCTCAGGGTTCTTGTCTCAGTATTGTAAGCATGTGGGCACACAGCTGTCTGTCTGTGTGATTAGCCCGAACCTCATTATTTCCAAAACATTTAACATTCATTAATTCCTAAACTGTTTGTATATCATTGGACTGAATTCAAAGTACAGCCAAGTTGCATATATTAGAAACTTCATGTAAACTACCAGTCAAATGTTTTGAAATACCTACTAATTATTATTATTATTTTGTTTCCGCATCTTAGGATAATAATAGTAAATCATAAATACAAAAGTTGATGGTTTTTTTTCATAGTTTTAAAGCATCTTGCTGTCTATATTCCAGCTCTGCACACTCCGGACATTTTTTTCGACCAAATTGATATGCTGCATCCTTGGATGGTTTTTAAAATTATTGAAGAAGTAATATATGCTGGGCACTTGCTGGCAGCTTTTCTATTCACTATACAGTCAAACCCATCTATTAAATTAAAAATAGTCTACAAAACTATATAATGCATATAAGCATTTAAATCAAATGGTTTTGAAGATCCAAGTGTCCACACTTTTCACTAGTAGTGATGTTTTAATGAAAGAACACTGCAATTCTATCTCAATAATTTATTTCCTACTGTCACTGTCAATAAAGGTAGGCAGAAATTCCTCTGCCTACTGTCACAGAGAGTCCTCTGTGCACTAAATAAAGTTGTCAGCAGTGGCGTATAATCAGTTTATGGGTGTGAATCGAGAATGGGTTCTTATTCAGAAGTAATGTGTGTATAAATATTCCGGAACTGAACGGTCTTCATGACATTTGGCTCCGTTTACAGCCTGCATTCTTCCACTAGCGCAGACAGAGCACCGTGCTAAAACCGTACTGACAGTGTTTTCATGCACCATTGCTCAACCACTATTGAATCGAAAGTGCCAAAAAATCCTGTTTTTGCCAAATTGTGAGGTTGCAGCCTGAATTTAATGTGATGAGAGCCAGCGAGAGAGAGAAAAACTGTTGAATTCCCAAATATTCCCATTCCTAATAACTTCCCCGCCATCTGCTATGATTATGAACTGTGAATGATGAACATATTTTGGTGATGGATGTAGGTAATGTAATGTTTCTGGGTCGTGCAGGACTCTCTGACCGAGTACCCATGCGGAGGTGAACACACGCCCAGTCCCATCGCCAGTGCCATTGCTCTCGACGCCACGGCCGCTTTCACCTGGACTCCTCCTATCACTGCCGTCACCACCGCAACTGAGGTCGGCCACACCATAGTACTGCTAGGAGACAAAAGCGGGAAGCTACACAAGGTATGACTCACTGCTATTTATTACTGGCCATATAACATGCTATTTTTCATCTTGTATCACGCTTTAGTGGAACTAAACCTGCAATTTTGTGTTAGCAGCACAAATCACAAATCACCGAAGCATAATGGGAAAAATCAGCATGAACAACTGCATTTTAAAGACTGTTTACCATCATTAAAGAAAAGACTTCTTCATTGAAAAGCAAACACATGGAGTAATCATAATCTGTCATTAAGCACTAACTTGCCAGTAATGAGCAAACCAGCCTACAGCATGGTAATATTATGTTATTAGAATCGGTTGGTTCAGTCAGAGTTCAGCTAGTGTGGGTTATATTATTTATCAGGATAAAGTTTGGGAGGGTATGATAGCATGTCCTTGCAGCAAAAAATTGGATGAGAAACAGTTTTTGGAATGCATTGCAATACGGACACTTTTGTATCCTTTATATGAGGCCTACAGTTGAAGGCCACTAGAATTAAGACAGTGTATTTAAAGATTACCTTTCAAAGCAGAAAAACATAAGACATAAAGTTAGCTTGAATGGTTGCGTTTGGTGTTTAGCTGCTATTTAAGGCAACTGGACAAGAGAGTGCATGCATGTCTTAAGCTCCTGCGCTCTTAGAGGTGGAACAGTGTAGAATTAATTCATGAGTCATTGAAGGTGAAACGAAATACATGATGAGCAACTCTTATTCTTGGCACGCTAGGATTTGGTTCCAATTACCCAAAACTCATTGTTCCAAAGCCTGTATTACTTTATTCTGTGGAACACAATTTTTTTTTGAAGAATCTTCACAACAGAGGTTTTCTGTACGACAGACCTTTCAAGGCCCAAAAAGCCCCACAAAAGAGGTCTGTACAACGTATGCTCTACATTTCAACAATATTAAAAGGAGCTACATTTTTTTTACTGAAAATCTTCCCTTCCGGCGAAGCTCTGAAATGGCATTGAAGTTGCATTGAACTTAAATAACTATTGTCTTCAGAAGACTTGAAATGAAGTGCAAGAGAATGAGTAAATAATGATCAAATCTTTATTTTTTGGATGAACTATTCCTTTAAGATCCTTCAGGTAGAAGATCCTCGTGCAACATATTCATTCAGTCTTGGGAAATAAACTCAGTTTTCTGCATCACGGTGTATTTTTTTTTTTTTTTTTTTAGGCACAAATATGTTTTGATCTGCCAGTTTTGCCCACTTTCAATCGAGAATGTGGGGTATTTACAGCTCGTGGTTGGCCCAGCCTGGCCTGAAGCTGGTTTGATTGTGTGTGCATATAGAAGGGAGTGTGTGTGTGTGTGTGCCTGAATGCGAGTGGCTGCCTCATCAGCATGAGAGGACATGTTCTGAATGCTTATTGTAAGCGCCTTGGGGAGAACCGATCTCAGGGGAGCCGGTCACATGCGGCACGCTCTGGGTCGGCTGATAGGGGTGGTGGCAGCGGCGCTTGGAGTTTTTCATCCCTCAATCCCCTCCGGTGCTATATGAAATATTAACGGCGAAACTCTGAAACAGCAGCTTGTTTACCGCCCAAATATCTCCTCAGGCAAAACTTCTCACAGACAGCCCACGGTATCACTTCTCCTGCCTGCAAGATGCTGAAAAACACACCGGCCTGTTGAGATTGCAATTCGCCTGAGCTTTGTGGCCAATGAGTGCGTCTTCTGTATATGCACGTGTATGCTTTTGTTCATACTTTTGAATAAAAGTTATTGTATGCATTCAACTTTAGCACATAATTCGCCATGCAGCATTTGTCCTGCAGCCTCTTTTAAAGTCGGCATGAAATGAAAATAGCAATAGTCGTTTCTTCTGTAACTTGTGACATTTAACAGTGAAACTGCTTCTCAAACAAGAAAAATGAAGGGCAGAACTTGATTTTGTCTATCGGGAATTGATTGGATCATTGAATCATCATTGATGTCCTCTGATAAATCATTTACTGCAATATTCCATTCAAAATAAGGATTGTCCAGTTTGATTTTGTGGTGACTTTAAATCATGTGGCTAGTTGTAGAAAGTTGTGCTATTACGTTTATAAGCAATCAGACTTCATGTGCCTTTATTTTTTTGCAGGTGTTCCTGCATGCAAATGGTACCGGTACCAAATATGACACCGTGGAGGTGGATTCAGACAGTCCCATTAACGCTGACCTGCTGTTGGACACCACCAAACAGAACGTCTACGTATTGACTGAAAGAAAGGTATGAGAGACAAACGGCTTTTTTCAACTGCCAGCAACTGAAACAAACAGCATCTGTTGCATGCACGCTCTCAAAGGAGAGATTACACGTTTACTGTCAAACATCATTTGAATGACAGGTTTTGTTTTTCTCAAGATGAAAGTCTGGTTTTGTTTCTTGCATTGTCGAGTAATTGCCAGTGGAATCGTCTTGGCAGCCAATCAGAATTGGAGATTCTTTTTTACACCGTTCTCTCATGCAAAAGTTGCGTTCTCTTGCATTTGATCAGTTTGCAATGCAAGAACGGTGCTCAGGGCCTCTGATTTGTGTGTGTGTGTGTTTCAGGTTACAAAGCTCCATGTAGCTCAGTGTGAGAAGCATTTAGACTGCCACTCCTGTCTGGCTAATCGAGATCCCTACTGCGGCTGGTGTTCGCTGGAGGGCAGGTACTTGAGCTCACCTGATTACTGTTACACATCACTGCCTGCTCTTTCAACACTCCCTTCCCATCAGGCCGCACCTCTCGTTTTACATAAACAGCACATTTAATCATATGACGATCATTTCCATAGATCATATTTGATATTCATAATTTTTTTCAACGCCTTCTGCTTCCACAGAACAGCAGTTGTTACCGGTTCAACTATTTTGGGCTGTTTATGCAACCCTTTTTGTTTGGGGATTATTCTAGGGATCATTATCAGACTAAGATTTAATACTACACTGCCATTTCAAAAGTTTGAGGTCAGTAAAAAGGACATTTTTTGGAAGAAATAAATAGTGACAGACAGTAAAGTAAATAATAATTTTAATCATTTTTTCATCAATTTTTACATTCTATCAAAAGAATCATCAAAGAATCCTGAAAAAAAGTATCACGGTTTCCACAAATATTCAGCAACACAACTGATTTTAACATTTATAATAAAAAATGTTTCTTGAGCAGCAAATCAGAAAAAAAGAATAATTTCTGAAGGATCATGTGAGACTAAAACAATTCCAAAACAGCTCCATGATAGTAATCTATGCAACTTGTGTGCTATATTCCAAGTCTTTTGAAACTATATGCAAACTTTTTGGCAAGTTTTCAGGCAATATCGTCTTTAAATTCAGTCTGTTCTCACACAAAGCTATCGTATTTCTTTAGAATGAATTTTTGATATTTTAAAAGTTTTGTTTTGGAGCTTGACATCATAAATCACAATCCATTTTTGTTAAATAAGAAACAGAAGATCATATATTGTGACCAAAATAATAGTGTCAGGACTAAATGAGGGCCCCGGGTCATTTTTGTGTTTTATTTTCTCAATCTGAGAGGACTCTTCAGTTTATTCAATTTAGCTGTAACTCTCAACAGACCCTTATCTCATTGTGTGTGTTTGTGTGTGTGTATTAGATGCACGCGGAAGATGGATTGCGCACGGCATGCTCAGCTGCACCACTGGATCTGGAGTTACGGTCATGAGCGCCAGTGTGTGTCTATAGAGAGTCTACAACCCTCTATCCAAAGCAGAGAAGAACAGACACTGGTACATTCCCAGATCACAGATCACCTCCCACTCTCCGCTGTCACATTGTAGTCTGTGTGGTCTTCATTGCAGCCTATTTCAGCCAAGAAACGCCCACTTAGACAGGAATTGACTCCCTGACCGACATGTAACACTGTGGCTAACCAGGCATGATGTGATAGCAGAAAGCAATTAAAGCTGTCTCTTCCATTTTTATCAGTTTTTTATTCTGAAAAAGGCTGCAATATACAAAATACACTTGGGTTTATGGTGAAATCTCATTGTTCCAAAATCCTGCTTGCTTCTCATAACAATATTCAATATTTCAATAACAGTATTTTAAATATATTGTGCCTCATTAGAGCATTTTTGCTTTTGTTGTGGATAGTGTTGTTCTCACTGAATATTTGTCACATCCCGATATACATTTATATATAAATACTGTATACATGTATGTGTGTATAAATATATATTCTGCTATAGTACTTGTATTCAACTAGGATGATCAGTAATATATATATATATATATTACCAGTAATATATTCTAATTATATTCATCTAGGATGATCCGTACATCAGTAATGACTTTTATTATATTATAAAAGATTTCTGTTATAAATAAACACTGTTCTTTTGAACTTTCTCTTCATCAAAGAATCCATAAAAAAAATGTCATGGTTTTCACAAAAGTATTAATCAGCACAACTGTTTTCAACATTGAAAATAGTTAGAAATGTTTCTTGAGCAGCAAATCAGCATATTAGAATGATATCTGAAGGATCATGTGACTAATTGCCTCTATCTACGAATAGCAAGTAACAAATCATGTTCATAACTGTGATGTAAACTAAAATCTATTGACTAAAGTTTTTATTTATTTAATAAATAAAAAAAACGGAACTCTTACTTCAGTAGTAAATGCATCAATACAAGACAGAAAGCTGTGCTCGAGGTCTTCAATTGCACAATAACATTCTTGTGAGGGGTCAGGAACAGGTCTGACTGGTTGCTTATGCAGTACTCTCAGACGACTACATAGCCTGAAAACTTTGCGCCAGCATCCAAACAAAAGTATTGACAATATCTCCTATTAGTATTCTTAAGAGCAAGCATGGCCTTGCACACTCTTAAAATGGCCATTAGATATCTGATCTATTTTTTTCTTCTGTGCTTTCAAGGTCTCTTTCACAGTTCTACAGTTGCCAGTCTTGTCAAAGGATGAGTCTCTATCTTGCGCTTTTGGGAGTTTGGCTGCTCAGCCTGCGGTTGTCATGGAGAACAGAATCACATGTCAATCACCAGCACCAGAGCAGCTCCCCCCGAGTCCACCAGGCAACGGTGAGCCACGCTGACGCGATCGCATTGCCAAGACAGTTTTATCCCAGCAACCAACTGTTGAGCTGAGGGAATGAAACCCAAACCATTTCTTTTCAAGAGAGTGTGCTTCTGTTACATCCACAACACATTTTTTTATTATTCTTGGTAATCTGAAACTAGCTATCGTGATTTTTATCTAAGTGCACAAGCACATTCAGAGATAACTAGCTTCTTAGAATATGTTTGCTTGCATGTTGTAAATGTGCAACGATTTGCAGAAATTTAAAGATGATACTGTTGATTTTACTGACGTTGAATCTGGGTTACAGGGATTATTTTGACGTAGGGTTTTAGCTTATCTTTTGTGCAACTAGAAAATGTCAATCTGCCAGGACTCAGAACTGTTTGCCTAAAAGCTTTAGTACAGAGATCCTGACAATGCATTGTGCGCCTCTCTAGAGTATACAGTAGATCAACAGTATTTACTGTACAGGGATGGTTAAATCCATGTTAAATATTGAATATCACTTACTCGCATTTTAAGCTAAAAATTCTAGGTAAAAAAACAGGAACTTTGAATTATTACTGGTTATTATGTCATTTGCATGGCTGATATTTGACATGAATCTGTTTATTTGTAGATCACGTATCTGTTCGAATGGCACTGAAGTTTGGAGACGTGACCATCTCGCACACAAATATCACCTTTTATGACTGTAAAGCAGTCGGACGGCTCAACGCTACGTCACCGTAAGGACATGAGCACACAAAGTTCATGCTCTGGCCCACTTGTAAATAAACCCACACATGCATAACACACCATGGAAGAATTTAAATGCATGTATCATTAAAAACAGCATTTTCTTTATAAGTAGTTGGATGAACTATGTAGACATGCTTGTACACAACACTTTTACAGAAACTAACCCGCAAAAATGTTCAGAAATCTTTGCCGTTTTGACATCACACTCACAAGCTCATTGAAATGTTTATATATCAATACCTTTTTAATATTTAGTGACTTGATACGTCCGACTAAATGAGATTGAGTGATGAAAGCCAATCATAAAGGACTTTAAGCTGATATAGCAAAAACGACCTGTTTATGTGAATCTCATACAACCTGTAATAAAGAAAAAAGTAATGTTTTGCTTAAAAAAAAAATGAAGCTAACTTCAAATGACTTTTCTTGGCAATTAAGCAAGTTAATTTGCATGACTATAATGCAAAAAAACCTAATTCTCATTATTTAAAAAAATGGCTTTTAAATTATAAAAGTACTTATACATCATGATAATATTTGTTATGCTGTCTTTAATTTTTATGCTAATTTAAATGAAAAGCATTTGTTTTGAGGCATTTGTTGTCCTTATTTTTTATGCAAAATGTTGTGTTTTTTGAGGGGGAGGGGGGGGGGGGGGTGAAATGTTTTTATGACTTAATGGGCTTAATTCTAAATGGGTCTTGGCAAGAGAGTGTGGAAAATTAGTGAAAATATAAAATATAACCGTTTAGTGCAAAAAACTTTGACTTGCATTATAAATGTACTAGAATTTAATGACTATTATATGACCACACATACTGGCTGTCCTCTGATGACACATTCATCGTATCATATGTGATCTTCTGCAGGTGCATGGCGTGTGTTAGCAGTATGTGGCCGTGTCACTGGTGTGTGAAGGATGAGCGCTGCACTCATGATAAGAACTGCCCCCCTCAGCACGTCATCTATAACAGCAGAGTAAGTGTTCGCCCTCTCCTAGGGTTTACCATTTCAGAACCATTTACAGACAGACAGTCCACGGGGTCCCGACCTGTCATGATATGTGTTAATGTTATTATTATTATGCTTGGAGGTCATCAGTAATGCTTTCTGCTGAAACAGGAATATATCCAAAACATTTCTAAAAAGTACCATGTTTTTGTGGGACATGCTGTCATGGTTTTCTTTAAATACCTTGAAGTACAGTGTCTATCCATCCATCCATCCATCCATCCCACATATACCTTGGTAAAACCATGGTATTCCTTTGACTTGGATTAACATGTAAATACAATGGTATACTGTATAAATATGGTCCTCATTCTGTATCATAATATATATCAGAGTACTATGGTATTACCATCAGATACATTCACTATCTTATAAAGGGCCACATTAATTATTGTTACTGTAAAGCTGTGGTAAATTGGTATCAGTCTCCACATGCCACACAATAACTGTATAAAGGTCATAAATTATGAAATTAGTTAAATTCATTGAAGCAGCTCTGCTTCAGTGAGGTCATAATCCAGCTCAGTTTTCATCTAATAGTGTCAGTGCAGTCAAATAAATAATATTGCTGAATGTTGTTGTTGTTATATTATTTTTTATCTTTGGTGGCTAATTTGCAAGATTATTGTTTTCAAAATTATCATGTTTGTCTAAAACGCAGTGGCAGAAATCATGCAGTCATGTCTAAATTTGGTCCGTCCAATCAAATTGCACCTTCCGCTGATCATTTGCATTAAACTGAAATCTAACCAACCCTCATGTCACTTTCAAAGAAGTAGGTGCAGCTGACCTTTGCCCTCAGTGAAACACTTATTTTGTGTGTGTGTGTGTGTGAACAGGAGCAGTCAACGCCCCGCGGGCCCGACTCTTGCCCCTGCGTCTGGGCCCTGCAGAGCTCCCCTCTGGTTCCTGTTGGCTTTGACACCGAGCTCTCTCTACAGGGCAAAAACCTGGACATTTTTGAGGTGATGCTCATCTGCCATTTATCATTTCACCCCATCCATCGTGCCTGAGCCAATATGTTGGCCTTGACGTTTCATGGCTGTGCATTTTAAAAGGCCATTATTCCCAGGTGTTCAGGAGGGTCTGGGTGAACTCATTTATGATAATGCATCTGGAATGAGGAAGGGGGGTTTAGAGACGGCTCGTGATTAGCGTTTGATTGTGTGACATACCGTGTGATATTCTGAACAGGATGAGGAAGATTACGTGTGCGTGCTGGTCATTGAAGGCCAGGAGCTGAGTTTGCGGGCCACGTTGGACCGCAGCAAAGAGACGGGGACGCATGTGTTCAAGTGCGCCGCTCATCAGGTGAAATTAATAGCGCCCATTTATTCAACACAGCATCGGATCACACCACAGCCGCTGCAGTTAATATAGACTTGTGTGTGACGTCTGCACTGATAATAGCTGTAATTTATGACACCAGCCAGAAAAACACAGCAATTTAAACATGGATTTGTTTATGGTGCCACACATATTTTGTCTGCATGCACCTGGCTGATTATACATTGATTGTGTGTGTCTGTGTGTAGTTTGGGTACTCAGGAAAGCAGTTTGAATATTCCGCTCCTGTATACCTGCAACGGGGGACGCAGCGTATAGATTCAGCTCCACATCTCCGCTGTGAGTACCATGACCATTTCTGCATGTTTCAGTCACTGAACATCCTCAAAAATGATCAAATTAACTCTCTTGTTTCTAAACAATGTACTTACTTATTTGCATAACTTAAATGCATATAAATTATAAACAGAAATTGTAAAAAAATATATTATTTATAAATAAAAATAGATATAAAAAATAGATATTATTTAGAATATACTTATTTATACAAATTTTATATGATTCTATTTTATAATACAATGTATGGAATATATAATATATTTGAATATATATGTGTGTGTGTGTATACTATGTATGTGTGTGTGTATGTGTGTGTGTGTGTATATATATGTGTGTATATATGTGTGTGTGTGTATATATATATATATATTCATTAATCTTTTATATATTTACATATGTGAATAATATATAAAATAATTATTAATATATTGTATATTATGTAAATATAAATCTGTAAAAATGATTGTCATTAATTTTCTAGGCTTTTATCAGGGACGGATAATCTTGTGTACATGCTAGAAGACTCTGTCCTTTGATAAGATTCCACTTTGTTTAAATTGGACAAGAACAACAATTGAGTCATTGATGCAGCTAGTAAGAGTTTTGTATCTGTTGATTGTGAGCTCACAGTGATAGTGTGTGTGTGACTATGTAACAGTGCAGCTGTACGACTGCTCAGTGGGACAGTCCGACTGCAGCCAGTGCCGTGCGGTTGCGGCCAATTATGGATGTGTGTGGTGTGCCGATGAAACTCCCGGCTGTGTGTATAACCAATCCTGCACCAGTGAAACCATGGACACCTGTCCTCCCCCTCTAATTACTGAGGTACACATATGCATTGTCCAAAATTAAATTAATGTGGGTGAATTGAGAAATGTTTTATCATCAACCATGGTTTTGCTATTTCCTTAAAGATGTATCTTGTTGCCAATTCATTTATATTTATTCATTGCAGCAAACACCACAGCTAATTTTGTAATTTGCATAATCATAAACCTGTCAGTCTATCAGCTTTCGCAAGTCAGGGGTTTGATTTCTAGGGAATGCATGAATTGTTAAAACGTATACCTTTAGATAGAAGCATCTCCTGAATGCATAAATGTCAATGTGAAGGCAAAAGCTGTCACCATAGTCACTGATCTTTTAATAAGTGCAAGGTTTGTGTTGAATGATCTAAAGATCTAGTTTGAGCGTTCATTAGCAATCTGTGTGTAGCTTTAAGAGAGCAACCATGCATTTGTTTTGTTTTAATTTCTCAATCTGCTTCAGTTCTTTTATTAGCATTTATAATAAACCATTTATTCAATCATTTAAATTCAGTCATTTCATCTTTTATATAATTTGTCATTTAATAATTTGTCATTTTTATATTATATATATGTAGATTGTATTTTTTATATATACATTTTATATATTATTTTTATATATTAATTATTAGACAAATAACCCCAAAATCTTAACATTAACCAACAATAACAAGCAATTGTTGGTTAATGTTAAGATTTTGGGGTTTCATGTAATATTTGTCTTTAAGAGTAAGAGTAAAATGTCTCCATTTTAAGGTTTTATGGAATAATGTGAAGCAGTTTGATATAACAACATTTGTTGGATTTGTGCTGGTCAGACGAAGTCCAACTGAGCATTACATAAACCACTGAGATTATTCAATAAATCCTGCTCATTTTTATCATCACTTTGTCTCCTGCTTTCTACTCTTCCTTGCTTTCCTCTGTCAACATCTCAGGCTGATGTTAATACAGAAAACAAAATACAGTGTTAACTGGTTTTGGGTTTCAGACTAAACGGATATCTTCTGACGGGATCTGGTTAAAAGACTAGATTTAATATTCCTGGCGTAGAGAATCCAAATAAATTTTGGCTCACATAGAAAGATTAAAACACTGCAAGGATCAAACAATTGTTGTTGCTCTGCCAGTCCAACCTATTATTATTTCACCAGTTCCTAAATAATTATCATTGTGCTGATTTTTTGCAAACCAATTATTAGTCACACATGTGACCCTTGGTGGGTGTTAATTTTGGTCTCTAAATGCATTTATAAAGGACACTCGTTTTTTACGTCAAATTTAATTTAGAAAAAGGTCAATTAAAGGTGCAGTAAGCAATTTCTGAGAAACGCTGTTGAAAGTGGATCAGCCTGAGCACCACAACACAATTGTTGCCAATCAACATTAGGGGGCGTGTCCACTCATGTTGGGGGAGGAGAGAGAGTGAGCAAGAGGAAGATTTGAACTGAAGAAAGACTGTAGAAAGAGAGATGGCTGAAAGACATTTTGCAGAAATGATCTATTTAGTGGTGAGACTGCAATGAAAAGCAAACCCATTTGTCTTTGAAGTACTTTATTCTTGCAAGAAGGCCATTCACATACAGACATCAGAGTTTTCTGCTGCGAAGGGCAACCCCGCCTTTTTATACATCACTCACACATCACTCTTGTTTTCCTGTTATGTTAAAGGTGAACTATGCAGGTTTTTTACCTCAACCGAACAGCTTTGGAGTCATTGGAATGGTTATATTACTCTTTTCGGGTTGAATGGTGGTCGTTTCGCACCCCCCTATCGCATGTGAGCGGAAAAATCACACTTGCAACTTTGAGCCGGCGGCCTGCCGGCCGCAGCATCAGGAAGTGTCGCGTAATATTAGGTCTCACGATGTAACGAAATGCTTTACGGCAAAAAACAGATCTGATAAAATTTTGATAAAATGAGCATCAAACAGAAATAACCCGGCGCCGTATACTATATATACATGTGCGTACACGGCGTATACATGTGGTGTTCGAGGCGCACATACAATACAGACTGCCGACAGTTAAACAGGGCGCGCGCAGCTCTTAAAGGGGCCATACCTTATTTCCACTCGTTACAGCGTCCATCCTACTGAACAGGTACCGGTGTACAGGGGGAGGGGATCCGGCCGTGAGTGCGAGCCATCTCTGCGTAAGTGCTATTCACGACAGTACAAGTACTCCACAGCGACTCTAGGGGTCGCTGTTTGACAAAAACGGAATTCCTACTTAGTGCTGCTTTAATTCAGAAAGAAGATCTATACCATATACGGATATTTTATTGTCTTATTCTCTTGACCCAGAGAAAGAGGGACTGTTTAAGAAATGGCAGGATGTGGAGTAGACATGTAACACCTTTTGTTGCAAAGACATCTACAGCTCATAACAGACATTACAAAAGAGAAAATGTCAGAGGAATATCACTGGAAAAAGAAGGGTTATGATCAGTCAAGAGCTTTAGGTTAATATTAGAAAAGCTTTCCAGCGCTGGAGAGAGGTTAGACATTGGGCACAGAGGTTGCTTTGTTTCTGCTCCATACGTGAATAACATTGGTTGTTATGCTGATGTTGTAATGTTTGCTATAGTAACAGGACAGTTTTGAGTGTCATTGTTTTTCTGGAGCTGCTGGTGACTAACAACCAACTCTTGCTTGTATATACTCTTGTGTATGTTCTTCCCTGGCATTCGTTCGTCATCTTCGCTTTATTTTTTGCGATGCATTATTTTGCTTTGCCTTAGCTATGATAAAGAGACATCCACTCTTGCATTGTGTGTTCGTGCATTTTGGGGGCAGAGCAATGAAGGGAGGGGTCTATTTGTTTGGGTTAATTTCTAAAATAAATACTGCACCTTTAAATGTCAACAAGGTCGTTTTGTCAAACTACTCTCTGCAATTATTGACTTTATATCTGTGTACAGGTGGAGCCACTGACCGGTCCACTGGAGGGCGGCATACTGCTGACAATCCAGGGATCGAACCTAGGCCAGAACTTCCAGGACGTCCAGGCAGGAGTGACGGTGGCAGGGGTCAGCTGTAGACCTCTGCCTGAGGCCTATCGCATTTCCACCAGGTACAACGCCTCTCTTAAAATCACGGTTTTAGTGCATCAAATAAAATGAGAAATTGCCGTCAAAATTCATGTGCATAATTCTGTTTTTTTATTATTTCTTTTTTTTAGCATTGTGTGTGAGCTCCAGGCCAGTGTAAATGTCACAGCCGGACCGGTCATCATCACCGTCAGAGGTTCAGAGAAAGGAGAGTCCAAGCAGACGTTCTCATATCAGAACCCACAGCTGAGCATGATTGTGCCCAAAAAAGGGCCCTTGGCTGGGGGCACGACAATAACAGTGCACGGGTCGCAGCTCCTGACGGGACAAAGAACAGAACAAAATAGTGACCAAATCACTGGCCTGCAGGCGTTCCTGGGCTCAAAGCCTTGTCGCATGTGAGTGCCAATATCTTTCATCTGTTTATTGATGGAAAATGCAAATGTAATTTACTGAAAAGATGCTGCAAGTTGCATTTATCTAAGGGTGTGTTCACACTTGGCATGTTTGGTTCGATTAAAATTAACTCTGGTGCGATTGCTCTGTTAGTGCGGTTCATTTGAATAAGTGTGAACGCCGGTGACACCAAACAAGCGGGCCGAGACGCTGAAAAGATGGGTCTCGGTCCGCTTCCAAACAAACTCTGGTGCAGTTCGACTGAAATATGAAAGCAACACGGACCAAAGACATGTAAACGAACCAAAAACAGGACATGGTGTCACAAGATGCGACCCTAAAAAGGACAGAATGCTCAAGCATATTTGTTTTTAGAAAGAACATAATGTTGAAGCACCTTTTTTTTTTTCGTCATAGTCGCGATGTTGCCCATCACTGTTTGGTACAGGCATCAGAACCGCGTCTCCTCGCAACAGATCTTCGTTCGTTTGACTCCTTTACACATTTTATAAGCTCTTTATGAGTTCTCACAGCGACCACATTTAGCCCAGCACAGCATTGTTTTGGATGTTCGATAAGTTCCGTCACGTAATGTACATAATAAAAGCCAACCAAACAGGTTGTGAACATATCCCTACCCCTTTAGGTTCAGTATCTTTAGGTTTGGTGTTAAAGGGATACTCCACCCAAAAATGAACATGAAAAAAGAACGATTGGAAAATGAAAAAAGAACGATTGGAACCAAACAGTTGTTTGGCACCATTGACTTCCATAGTAGAAAAAAAAAATACTATGGAAGTCAATGGTGCCCCACAACTGTTTGGTTCCAATCGTTCTTCAAAATATCTTCCTTTGTGTTCAGCAGAAGAAAGAAACTCATACAGGTTTGCAACAAGTTGAGGGTGAGTAAACGATGACAGCATTTTCATTTTTGGGTGGAGTATCCCTTTAAAACGCCAATGGGAACGTTGTTAAATGTTTGTTTTTTTTAGTCTGGACCGAACTACAAGTGTGAACACACCCTAAGTCTTCTCTCTGTTTTTTCCCCCCATAAGCAATGAAGTGAGTGACACGAGGCTGATTTGTCGTACCAGTCACTCAAACCAAACTGGAAAAGTGCCACTCAAAGTTGTGTTTGGAAAAGCAGAGAGGATTTTGGATAGTGTCCTTTTCAGCTATATGGACGACCCAGTGATTATTGATGCAACACCTACTGAGAGTTTCTACGGGTGCGTGCGCTCAAGTCCTACTCTTGTGCATCCTTCATCTGCATCATGAGACTATTCCTCTAACGTTTTCATTTCAATTTAGGGGTGGACGTTTTATATACGTGACCGGGCAAAACCTAAATGTCGTTCAGCACCCGAAGATGTCAGTCTCTTATGAGCCTAGAGAGAGTTTTGAAGTCAGAAGACGTCGATACGCCCATGTTTCTGCCAGGAGTCTCTTGGTTATGGTAAAACAGTCAGAAAACTAATTTCAAACCAATTTTACATATCAAACACAGAATTTGTGTTCAAAATTAATGCAAACAGGACTTATACATTTGATTCATTCTCAGAGGTTCAAATATTTATACAGAGATGGTTTAATCATTTACTTGACTAAATCTGAACACTTTAACTCTCCAAGCCCGTGAGAGAAAATGTTCTCGGAAGTGCAGTAGTGCATGTGTTTCTTTCTTTCTTCAGAGTCAGAATTTGTGCACCAACGTTACCTCGGAGCAAATGACTTGCAAGAGCCCAGAGGTGCCACCGAAATCCAGGATTGTGCGAGTGTGGTTCGAGATGGACAATGTGCACATCGACTTTCACACCATCAAGAACAAGCCGTTCACGTACCACCCAAACCCAGACTTATTCCAGCTCAACAGTGAATCCCAAGGAACAGCCATCCGATTCAAACCTGGAGGAGTCCTGGCAGTAGAGGTGCATGCATTTCTGTAGCATTTAGGGTCAACCAGTATTATTTTAGTACTATTATAGGTTTTGAGTTAACTTTTATTTTTATAGTGTCTGTTTTCATTTATTTTTAATGAAATGTTTTAATGTTTTTTTTTTATTTTAATTTTTTTAAATATTACTATTTAGGATTCATTTATTTTCATTTGTTTATTCACTTTCAATTTGTAATTACAGTGCTTCAACTCATTTAAGTTAGTTTCAAAAGGAAACATATGTAATTTTTGTTTACTTTAAATTGCCCCTGTTCTCAGATATTTCTTTCATGTATTGTGTAATGTAGCTGTTTGTGAATGTAAAAGGTCTGCAAAGTGCACAAAAAATGAAATTATTGTTTCCCATAAGAAAGAACCAATTCTGAACAGTAATTCCAATCTTACTTCCTGCACAAACCTTGCATAACAAATTTGCATAATGCCAGCCTGTGGTTTTCATTGGCTGCCCGTGAACAATGTCTACTTAGACCCTTAAACACTGTAGTTGTGTCTGAGACTGGAAGAGTTTGGTTTGTGTTGTCGACATGTCAGGAAGATGCTGTTTTCTGGGCTGCGGAAGCAAATCCACTTTGCATGCACTTCCAAAGGATTAAGACTCGGGAAAAACCGATGCCATCGTTACTGTTCATATCACAGTGTATACAAGTGCTATGGAAGCCTCTAGAGCTGAAACTCAGATATGATATTAGTCATTTAGTTTCTGACGCGTGCTGTAAGTGGTCGACCAATCACAACAGACTTGGCGAGCTGACCAATCAGAGCGGAGTAGGATGGCAGTAAGGAGTTTAGAGACTAGATCCTTGATCAAACCGTACGTATATTATGAGAAAAATTTGTTTTTTGACCTTGGATGCATGTAAACTTATTATAAGAGACCTCCAAAACAAAATTAGGAACCTTTAAAATAGCATAATAGGGGCAATAGCATAAATAGTTTTATTTCAATTAACAAAAAAAGTAATTTTTTGTTTTAGTTAACTATAATAACCCTGTTGTTTTGCACCAAAACAGTTGTAATTTAGTTGAAGTGACTGAGGACGTGTTTTTTGTCTCTGAAGGGAAAGGGACTGACACTGGCCATGAGCAGAGAGGAAGTTCTGGCCCGGCTGGGGAAGGAAGAATGTGACGTCAAGACTCTGGATAACACGCACCTGTACTGCGAACCACCTGAGGAACAGCCTCTCGCCCTGGACAACGAGGACTTACCCAAGCTTACGGTCAGTCTGAATACAGTGACTTCTTGAGTTGTTTCAGTGCACATGTTTTTTTTTTTTAAATGTGACCAAGAGGTTATTTTTATTCTGGTGCAATTTCCAAATACAGTTTGGGTGTCGTAGTTTTAGTCAGACAAACATTGTGTTGGTGTAACATGACAAGTTTTGAGCATCACAGTTTTTATTTTCGCACAGAAAGTGAAATGCTGCATGAAGTGATAAAGTCGCAGCCAGTTAGAACATGTGTGATGTTTAACAGAGGCACTTTTAAGCAGACTTGTTTTTTGTAGTGTTTTTCAATAGGGAATTAGAGATTTTAACCTATTGGTTTATTTTGGATATTCAATTGTGCATGTTAATATCATCTATTATTAGATGACCATTGCTGTTTATTTAAAAGTTAAACTTTAAAAACATCAAAAGTAACACTGTTAAATGTACATTTTTGCACATATCAAAATGATTCATTTTTTATACTAATTGTAATGTAAATTATTTCAGTGCATTGTAATTCAAATCAAATTAACTTTTAAAACAATTGATTTTAGTTATTTATTAATAAATAAAACGGAGAAATATTATTTATTTAGACAAAAAAGTATAAATAAATAGTATAAAATGTAATATAATTATTGGCCATAATATGAAAATTATTATTGGCTTATCAGCCAGAATTTTGACTTTGTGCTTCCCTAACTCTTTCTACTGTATGGAGCGTTGTGGAAAAACGTATTAAAATCATGACTTTAAAATACATTGAAGAAGACACAAGCCAATGGGAATTTAAACTTAGAGGCATATATCATCGCTAAATAACCATGTTTGGTCTGTCTTGAGTGGTTTATGTTTTTGTCTCTGCTGTGAAAATGAGGTTTTTACTACCGACTGTGGCCTGGAACCCGTCTGTTTAAATAGATGTAATTTATAGCTTCACGCTGTGTCTTATCACACCTGCTTAGGATTGTGTCTTTATTTTGCCATCACATGCTAACATCTATGTGTGTGTGTGTGTGTCATCTCAGGTGTTAATGGGAAACTTGGCGTTTGACTTGGGTCGGGTGCAGTATGACAACGATTTACACTCACCGGTGCCTCTGGCGGCTCAGATCGGCCTGGCAGCGGGGGCCGCGGTGGTAGTTCTCATCGTGCTGGTCATCATTCTCATGTACAGGTGTGTGAGTTCAGATGGCAGATTCCTCACCCTTCTGAGCTTGTCGTCATGACGATGAGCCCTGAACTTAAATCCAGCACTCAGGAAGAATTCTAATGGTATCCATTTGTTAGCGGTCGTGCTCTAACCCTGTGTTTTGCTCTCGCTCTGTTTGTAAAGGCGGAAGAGTAAACAGGCTCTGAGAGACTATAAAAAGGTTCTGGTGCAGCTGGAGACTCTGGAGATAAATGTTGGAGACCAGTGCAGGAAAGAGTTCACTGGTATGCCAGGACTTTTTCATCCATACAGTTTGCCCTTACTATAATATACCATGGAAGCCATTAGTCATAGACTAAAAGTACCAGTGTGGCTGATTAAATTGCCAATATTTTGAAATTATGATTTATGATGCTTGAAAGGTCCTACTTCTTGGCCTTGTTGGTTAAAAAAATCTTCTAATAAACTTTTCAGCGGCTAATTGACATTTTATATACATTATTCAGTGTACATGTTTATTTTTCTATCTGTCTATCTGTCTATCTGTCTATCTATCTATCTATCTATCTATCTATCTATCTATCTATCTATCTATCTATCTATCTATCTATCTATCTATCTATCTATCTATCTATCTATCTCTGTTTTCATAATCTTTGTCATTTTTATTTAATTATTATAGCAACAGTCATAGTAGTAACTATAATACTATGGTGTTTGGAAAGACAATATGGTTACCATGGTTTGTAATTGTTTATTGAAATATGATAAATGAAAAATGATATTGTTATCAATGCCTTTTTAAACAAACTTTTTCCTGCCCTCCAGATCTGATGACGGAGATGATGGATCTGAGCAGTGACGTCGGTGGTCCTGGTATCCCGTTTCTGGATTACCGCACATATGCAGAGCGTGTTTTCTTCCCCGGCCAGAAGGGTGCGCCACTGAGTCAGAATCTGGATTTGCCTGATTTCCGTAGGCAGACGGTGGAGCAGGGCCTGGGTCAGCTCAACAATCTGCTCAACAACAGACTCTTCCTTACACGGGTCAGTGAAGTGCCTTGTTTCTGCTGTCAGTTCGGCCCCAGATTCCTGTAGAGGAAAAGAAAGCTGAGTGTAATTACAGTGTTTATGCCGCTGACGTGTTTGAGGCTCCAAAAACAGCCACTGATGCACTAAAGACTAAACAAAGGATGAAAAAGAAAGCAAATGTAATATTAAATTTGCATTAATGCAGGTGGATGCCTGTTTAGCACAGAGAGTTCTCAGTCGCTATCTTCTTTTCTTGATGCTTTATCTGCGTTTAAAGTGCCAAACTGTCAGGCAGCAGTGAAGAAACTTCAGAGCTGAACTTCAGCATTTTAAATATTTATCCATCTCAGTAGTCTGAGGCTTTGTTGATGTTTACCAGTGCAGTTTTTCGAAAGCTCGAACTGTTTGATTGAAATTGGTCAAACTAGTATGCTCTTGTAGGGAACATCTGTGGCACTATTGCTGGTAAACTCTCCTCTGGGTTCCTCTAGTTCATCCATACTCTGGAGGCACAGCAGAGTTTCTCACAGAGGGACAGAGGTTACATTGCGTCTCTTCTCACGATGGCCCTTCATGATAAGCTGGAATACTTCACTGATGTTATGAAGACCCTACTGGGGGATCTAGTTCAGCAGTATGTGGCCAAGAACCCCAAACTTATGCTGCGCAGGTATTTCAGTCACCTTTTATTTATCTGGCATACATTTATTATTGTTCTTTTACCCAAAACATCTTAGTGCATTCAGAGCACACTTTTTATCAGTATAAGAGTTATTTGAATCATATCCCTGACCTTGGCATTGATATTTACTATCTTTATGTTTGGAGTCACTATGATCCCGATGTTGTACACTCAAAAATATTAATAGAAATTCCGGGTAATCAATTAATGTATTATTTTATATAATTTATTTTGTTCCTTTTTGAAGCTTTTAACCTTCTGTTTTCCCACAAAGCAGGTGGTAATTCAAAAATGTAATTTGGTTATGCTGTATTGTAGCTTTGTGTATGTTTTCAAGAACACATCAATAATATTCAATAAGTAATAATAAGTAGACTAAAAAGACTACTAGTTTATTAAAATGATCTGCATTTATTCCTGTTTAGTTTACTCCCAACAGAAATAATGTAACAAGGTTCTAACTCGCATAAAATAAATGCAAACATTTCAAAAGAATACATCATGTGTTTGTTACTTAAGAAAAAAAACCCACAATTGGTCTGATCCGTCCTGATCTGATTATAGTAAATCTAATCTGAAGTGATATAACACGCATGTTGTCATCTGTAGGACTGAGACGGTTGTGGAAAAGATGCTGACCAACTGGATGTCCATCTGTCTCTACTCTTTCCTCAAGGTATCAGAGCATGTGATGGCTTCAGTTCTATGCATTTGCATTGATTGATAGTGAATAATCAAATTTTTTATATTTATAGATTAGTATTATTTCATTAAAATCTATTTCTTGTGACAAAAAAACATTTAATATGTATTTTTATTTTTTACAGGATTTTAATAATCAATATATTATTGTTATATATATTTTTTATTATAATATATATATATATATATATATATATAATAATCATATATTATTATTTTTCTTAGATGTCTTTTACTATTTTGCTGTTGCTGTTTACCATGTTCACAGAGGTCTGCTTTGTATCTTAACTGTGGTAAAATCACTGTAAAGGCCCCAATATACTCGCAGCGAAGTTCTTTTTCTTTCTTCGCTCAGGGGTAAAAAATAAGTTTGAAATCCCTTTGCTGCGTTATACTGTTAGCAAACATCCCGACGCCACCCACAATGATAAATGCGGTGTTTAGATGAATATGTAAATATGTGCTGCGCGCTTTCCTGAACAGAAGAAATGAACCGGAGATTTCCACGTCAAAGAAGGCGGAGCCTCAGAGCCACACCCAACCTTATGTAATCACCACAGACCAATGGTAGATCGGAGGTGTTTACCAGACAATTTTTCCGGAAAGTTCGCTTTGGCAGGCTGTTTCAAAATCCCCAAATGAATGCAAAATTAACTTTTGTTTTGGTCAGATTTTGTTCTAAATGATGTCTCGCCAGTTTGTTCTTTTTCACTTTAAGTATATTGGGGCCTTAACATTAGACTTCTCATGGATTATGGTTTTAATAAAACATCTCCTCATAAAACTTCATCTTCCACATATAAGCAACGTTTATTGTGACAGACATAAATGCAATTGCTAATGCATGTAAATGTGTGTGTTTGTGTGTGCAGGAGGTTGCTGGTGAGCCTCTGTACAAGCTGTACAGGGCTATTAAATACCAGGTAGATAAAGGACCAGTGGATGCAGTGACGGGCAAAGCCAAACGCACTCTCAACGACAGCCACCTGCTCAGAGAGGACATCGACTACTGCTCTGTGGTGTGTCTCTGTAATATACTTCCATCTCAATGCTACACAAAACAAATCTCCTAAATGAATAAATCGAATGAGACAAGAGTTTGTGTTTCCCATCTCAGACTCTGACAGTGCTGGTGAAGAGTGGTGTCGAGGTCCAGCCCTGCCCTGTTAAAGTTCTGGACACTGACACCATCACTCAGGTTAAAGATAAAATCCTGGACCAGATTTATAAAGGAGCGCCATTCTCCCAGAGACCAGCCGCAGACTCACTGGACCTTGGTACGGTTTTGGTAGATTAGATTTATTGTACTAGAATTAGATACATCTAGACTAGTCACTACTATGTTCAGTTTATTTGTAAAAGCTTCATATTTTGCATATTGTGTTCCATCAGAGTGGCGATCTGGCCAGGCGGGTCACCTGACTCTGTCTGATGATGATGTCACAGGCATTGTTCAGGGTCGTTGGAAACGGATTAACACTTTACAGCACTACAAGGTATAGTTCATTCAGATGAATTGGTTGATTAATGGGTTGGTTGGTTGAATGTGGGTCGGCTGATTAGTTAATTGACTGGTTTGTTGGCTAATAGGTTAGTGGGATGGTTGACTTGTGTCTTTGTAGGTTGATTGATTGTCTGGTTGGTTGATTCTGAGGGGCTGTTTACACGACACCGTTTTCAACTAAAAACGTAAAGAGTATGCATTTCGGCCGTTCGTTTACACGCCAACTGTGTTTTGGGTGCCTGAAAACGCAAACTTTTGAAAACGGGTTTCAAAGTGTACGTTTTTGAAAACGGTCGAATCTCTGAAGACGATGACATCATGGACATGCATATTACGGGTTCAATCTATAGTGTTTCATCGCCATCTAATGGCTTGGCAGCAGAATACAGGGGTTTTAGTCTTTTTCGCGGATCCATGTGAATGGGGATCGTTTTGACAATGTACGTCTGTACGCGGAAACTCAAAGGAAAGACTTCTCCTTTTTAAGCATATCGTTGTCGTGTAAACGTAACCTGAGTTGGTCTGGTGAGTTTGGTTGGTTTATTTTGTAAGTTGACTAATTAATTTTGTGAGATTGTTTGATGTTTTGTTTTGGATGGCTGATTTTTTTAGAGTTGGTTGGTTGATTTAGTTAACCCTCTGGGGTCCTTCATTTCAGAGTCACACTTTAGGACCTTCGGGTCCAAATGGGCCGGAAGGGTGGGATTAATATTTATTAAAAAAAAAACATCTTTTTTTTTTTTTACTTGTTTTTTATAATATTTTTTCTTTTCTTTTTTGGTGTTTTGAGATAATTTCAAAAATAAAAATGATTTTTAATTAATATTAATACAATAATTATGACCCATTTTTTTACCCATTGAATATAATAGAAATTAAAAAAAAAAAAAAAAATTAAAGCTGTATTTCATTTTAGAGTCAAGCCTAGGCCTCATGAAAGCAATTTTTGAAATGAGATGGATGCCATCTGGTGGACAAACTGCGCATTTTAAAAATTCAAAACCCATATGTAATCTGAATTTATTAGTGTGTATGTGTATAAAAGTGTGTTTGTGTGTGGATGTGTCTGTTTTGCACTCTTGATGTTTTATAGATTCACCCCTTCACTGTTGTGTGCTTTTTTTATGGATCGTGGCTGATTTGTAGATTGTACACACAAAATAACTCTGTATTTTCACATTTTTGCCAATTTCCCATTCATTTCCTATGCGGGTCCATTTGGACCCGAAGGTCCTGAGTGTGACTATTTTTTTTACAACCACTTAGACTATTCAAATCCTGTCCCCAATTTGTTTGGGTGTTCATATACCAAGTACCAACAAAGTCACCAAATTTCGGACCATTCCGATAAAGCTATGATTTAAAAAAATATATATATTTAAATGCTTCGGGTCCATTTGGGCCGAAGGACCCCAGAGGGTTAATTAATTGGTTGATTTTGTGAGTGAGGTTGGTTGGTTGACTTGATTTAGCTCTAAGTCTCTCTCTTTCCTCTTGTTTTCTCAGGTACCTGATGGGGCCACCGTCGCTCTCATCCCTCGTTCCCAGAGTTCCCTTGGAGTAAATCAGGTCTACCAGACTGGAGAGAGTAAGTTGAATACTTTTTGATCTATAAAAAATAAACTGTTATCACTTCACTTTATTTGACACTTTATTCACTTCGTTACTGACCATCAGAGAGCAAAAATGATATATTTCGTATTGATATCTGGTCTGCTCCTTGCAATTGCTGTAGAAACTCCAATGCTGGAGGGAGAGGAGGAGGAAGGCCTTCGGCTGTGGCATCTGGTGAAGCCGAGCGAAGATGCCGAGATCCCCAAACACAGGAAGAGCAGCATGAGAGAGAGAGAGCGGGCAAAAGCTATTCCTGAGATCTACCTTACACGACTGCTTTCCATGAAGGTTAGTGAGATGTTTGTGATTGAGTCATCTTTAAAACGGCACACACAAACACACTTCAAACGGATACTGCCGCTGCTTATGTTTGTTTGAGATCTGTCTTCTGCTGCTGACTGTCAGTGTGATTGAAAGCTGCTCTGTGTTTATAAATGTGTATCTTCAGGGCACTCTGCAGAAGTTTGTAGATGATGTCTTTGTAGCCATACTGAGTACGAAACGGCCTCCACCCATCGCTGTCAGATTCTTCTTTGACTTCCTGGACGACATGGCAGAGAAACACGGCATCGATGACCCAGAGACCGTTCACATCTGGAAAACAAACAGGTCGGCTTTAATGCCTACATCTATAAAACTATTTAATTAAGGGTTTTGAGCTGTACAGCTCAGGAATTTTGATTAAATATGACATTTGAAGTGGACATATTTTTGTTTCACTTGATTGATAGTTTTTTTTTAAGACATTCATTTTGTCATTCTATGGTTCAGGGAATTCGGAAATGTGGTTTTCAGGTCTAGAAAAGTATTGGGAGTTTTTATACTGTATGTGTTTTTTTGTATAATTTTTGTATTTTCTCAAAAAAAGTTTTTAAATCTTGCCCAAGAATCTTGATTTACTGGTAAAGTGATGGATATTCATTGGTCAATAGGAGAGGAAATCCATTTTTCATCCATTTCATAAAGTACAAATGCAATTTCTTTTCTTGTTGCTCCAATCTAATATATTTTATTGACTAAATATAGAATAAAACATGCTCGCAAGACATGTTGATGTCTGATTTCCGACGGAATCGTTCCTTTGAATGCGTTCTTTTCAGTGAAAGCGGTTCACAAATTGCTCTGTATGACTCATAAAACTGGTCTGAAGTTGAATCATTTTTAAATCCATTTATTACAAAGATAATTGAAAAGCTCTGGAAATTTGTGCAATCTGAAAATGTCTATAGTGAATAAAAAAATGTGTACATATTTCCATTTTGTAATATTAATAGTCACTGTCCTTGTGTAAAGTTTGCTAAGCAAGCAAATCAATATTTTTTCCCCCCAATCAGTTGGTCGAACTGGTTCAGAAATTGGTCTGAATGATTCATTAGTGAATCATTCTGAATTTGAATTGATTTTTAGAAATCCTTACTCTGTGATTGGAAAGGTCTTGGAGAACCCTCATGTTTCTCTGTTCGTTATATTAAATGTTAATTTAAATGCACTCTTGTCTTCCCTCCGCCTTACAGTTTGCCTTTGCGTTTCTGGGTCAACATCTTGAAGAATCCTCAGTTCGTCTTTGACGTGCAGGTGACGGATAGCGTGGATGCCGTCCTTTCCGTTATCGCACAGACCTTCATTGATTCCTGCACTACATCCGAGCACAAAGTGGGCCGGGTCAGTACAGCAATTAACCTCTTGACCTCTCTAGCTGTGACCTCATTATGGTCGAGAGTGTGCATGTAGAGCGAGAAGATGAACAAGGGCAGGAAAGAGAAAAAGAAAATGAGCTCAAAGATGCCGTAGTATTGAAAGGAGCTCATTGTTGTGTCTTGTCCTTCAGGATTCTCCAGTAAATAAGCTGTTGTATGCCAGAGAAATCCCACGATACAAGCAGCTGGTGGAGAGGTGAGAAGATCTAAACGTTATACAGTGATACGGCCCTTTTCAAACACACTGAAATGGATGCAGGAAGTTGATGATATTGCGTGCTATAAAGCTTCTTCTTCTCCTGCAGGTACTACAGTGACATTCACAACGCCGTGTCCGGCTGTTACCAGGAAATGAATTCAACCCTCACAGAGCTGTCTGGGGTGAGACTGAATTTGATTCTGTTTTAAATGAAATTCTGACTGTGTTTTTACATTTTAACAGACAGCAGGGTCCAAAATGATGAAACCACATTGAGAATCTGGGATTTAATGTCTAGTTTAAGGGTCAATGATGTGACACTTATTAGTTGTTCTATTCATTTATTAAACATTACTTGAATACATGCTGATCATGTTTTTAATTTCTGAATTATTTTGATTTATTTATTTATTTGATATGTCGTGGTGTGAATTTAAAAAAATATATTAATTCATACTTTTAATTTAATAAATAAATTGATTTTAGTAATAAAAAAACACGTCATGTGATGCGAGAACTTTTTGAATTGTAAAATCTTTTTACAAATTTAATTCATTCTTGATATTTGTAAAATAAACAGCTTTTCATGTGGTGCGAGATCTTTTTGAATTAATTGTAAAATATTAAATTATATATTTGTTGAGGGTCAAAAACTCATGTGGTGTGGTTTTGAATAAATAATTGTAAAATATAAAAAAAATATCCTTTGAATTAATCATTTTTGATATTTGTTTTAAAAAAACACCATGTCATGTGGTTTAAACTTTTGAATTAATATTTTTTAAATTTGTGCTATTTGTAAAAATAATAATTATGGGGTGCAACAAATTTTAAACATTTAAAAAATTTATACATGTATATGGTAAGAAAAATGACATTATTTTTGGGTTTTGAACTAAATTTTCCTTCCTTTTTTAAATGTTTTTCTCTTTCTTTATCATAAACACTTAAACTTGCTATTTTAAGTTTCTGATGACTGTCTGTTTTTAGAGCTTTGCATCCGAGATGAACAGTTTGGTGGCGTTGCATGAGCTGTACAAATATATCAACAAATACTATGATCAGGTCAGTATGGGACTCAAGCTTCTTATGTTGTATGTGTTAGAGCAAATTAATATATCTCTCATATTGGATTATGTGCAGATTATCATGTCTCTGGAGGAAGACGCTGCGGGTCAAAAGATGCAGTTGGCATATCGGCTTCAGCAGGTCGCCGCCCTGGTGGAGAATAAAGTCACTGACCTTTAGACTTTGACCTTTTGTCTAAACTCATCAATAATCACATCTGAGAGAAATCAGATCAGTGCTTTTCGATTGATCGGCTGATGTAATGCTACCACTACGTCAAACCCTTGCGTGCTTCCACAGCCGTTCACATAAACTTGCTGTATATTCTTAACAAAATGGAACAGAAAACGTCACTATCATTCGATAAATCCTTAATGGGATTTTTATTGGAGAAGGATTGCTTTTCAGACTGAGACTCTGAACTACTCACAGGAGTATTGAGTGTGTGTGTGTGTGTGTGTGTGTGTGAGAGCTTGTATAATTGTGATGTTTTGTCTGAAAGGGTCTGCTGTATATGTGAAGTTTACTTATTTCAAATTCTCTGACCCAAGTCTATTTTAATGACACTACTGAAGCAGCTCTCACGTTTTGACATGCTAAGACACATTTTATATTGTTTTTACTTCCATTCAAGTGATCTCAGATCTACTGTATGGAGTTTCATGAACTGTTTCAACAAAACCCCATCACGTTCAACCATTACAATCACGTCAGCGCTGTTGACAAGTCCCACATGTACTTCTACTGTACATGGAGTGTTTTGTTCCAGGGTTAGAAATGCTCTGCTCCTCCACTATCAAATCCTAAATTCAAAAGACTGTCCTTGGCCGTGTTGTATTAACCTTTTATACTAACATTTCTACATTAGTATTGCAGATCAAAACAAGTATTAAGCTTTTACAGGGACCGTAGTGTAAGTCTATGCACACAAGTGCCAGAACATGTTATAAGAGCACAATATTTGTGTGCGTGTTTTTGTGTAGCTTTTTGTTTGCATGCAAAAGAAAGACAAACGGTCACAGTTTTCAAGTTTTCTGCTGTTGTTAGGATCTCAAATCTAGAATTTCTCACACAGGAATACAAAATTGTTAAATGTGCTCATCTGAATTCTGATTTGTAGCCCTATAGCCTGGTCAACTTTAGTTGATCATAACGTTAATGCACCTTCACGCCCAAGATTTGTGATGGACCCCTGTAAAATATGGGTCCAGGCTACATTTCACTCTCAAATCAACACTTTTTTTAAAAAAATAATTAATTATATTTTGCACAACATATTTTTACACTTTAACTAATATATCATTATTATTTTTTGCATTGTATCGTAATTCTTGTAAAAAATGTTTTTCACAAAATTCACAAAAACTTAATGGTCCTGAAAAAGGTTTTTTTTTTTTTATCAAAATTTTTCGGTAACACTTTACAGTAAGGTCTGATTTGTTAACATTAGTTAATGTATTAATGAACATGAACTAGCAATACATTTATTACAGTTTTTATTCATCTTTGTAAATGTTAATCAAAATACAGACATTCATTGTTCATGTTAGTTCACAGTGCATTAACTAAAGTTAACAACAACTTTTGATTTTAATAATGTATTAGTAAATTATGAAATTAATACTAAGATTAATAAATGCTGTAGAAGTATTGTTCATTCTTAGTTCTTGTTAACTAAAGTAGTTGACTAATGTTAACTAATGAAACCTTATTTGCAAAGTGTTACCAACATTTCTTAATTATTTGATTTGATTTAAGCATGAAATAAGCCTTTGCAGTATTTGTGAGATTCACCCACACTTACACATGGCATTGATTTCCTAATGCTTTGAATTTAACAGCACAATAGAGCACAATTCTCAAAGATTCAGTCTCATGCGGGAAAATTGCAGCTGGAATGTCCAGTTTCTTGGGAGGTATTAAAACATTTTGGGTTGACAAGTGAAGAAAAGCGTCTTTATTCGCTTGGTCCCGATGATTTGAAAAGCAGCAGTCGGCTTGAGAGTTGTGTACATCAGACACTGAATAGAAACTAACTTATTATATTGTAAATAATGCTTATTTATACATGAGCGCCAAATGTGCCTTCTTTGTTACTTTTTATAATGTCTACCAAGTAAACATGCTTGACATTACTTGCCAAATGGAGAAGAAGATGAACTGTGGCACAGCTGTTGCCTGTTGTAAAGAGTCTCAGGATTCTCAATGGATTCAGTACAAACACGTAATTCATTTCTAGTTTGCCCTACCAGCTCATTTCCTGGAGTGATCTGTGTTCACCGTGATGATGATGGAGTAAATTGGAATTTTTTTTTTTTTTTTTTTTGTGCATCTGTTCTTTTTAGCTGCTTATAATTAGTTTTTTCCTGAAGCACTTTGTGTTTACATTTTGGCTTATCCATAATGTCTAATTTTTTTGTAGTTTTGATCATGAAGCTGATTTCATGTGCTTCAACACGGTCCCTTTTGTGTATAAAACTGAAAATAATGGATTTAATGCTATCTAGACATCTCAAATGTATTTTTTGAAGGCTTCCCTGTTCCTGCATTTATTATGTGATTTTGAGCTATTAGGCTTCATCATAATAATGTATGCACAGGGTTGGGTTTTAAAAATGGGAAACGTATTAGTTTTCTCATTCTGTGTGTTTATTATCCTGTTGTTGAATGTGTTTGGCCTCTTGGTGTATTTTTCTGATTATTATAGGCTGATGCATGCTTGAGATTTGATTGGATTTTCTGATTGGGGTGCTTTTTGAGAGGTTCACTCGATGGACTGCGTTATGAGTGCATGGCTCTCATAAAAACACTGTCTGAGAATGTGTGCGTGTGTGTGTGTGTGTGCATGACAGTTTGTAAGTAATTGTAGCGCTTCATACATGATGTTGAGGTTTTTTTTTGAGTAAATCTCCTGTTATGTACACTTTTCTCTGAGAGAATCCAGCAAAATCTTTTTGTACAGTCTTGCGATTTACTGTTTTGCCAATTGCGTGGATTACAGCTTTGTATCTTTGCAGATAAACAATTCAGACCGTTGTTGGTGTATATGGAGCCCTTGCCCGGCACCGAGTTTTACACAACTTTTATACAAGGGTTCAAAAAAAATAATAATATATGGTAATTTTCTAATGAAGTTGGGGGTTAAAAGAGAACTTAAACCCAGTCTAAAGACTTACTCTTTTGTATTTGTATTGTGTATAGTTTGCTAACAATTGTGTATATGTGCCTGTACATATTGTGAAGAGGACATGTTCTTCTTGGTTTCTTTCTTTTTTTTACTTGGACAGAGTTACTCTCTCCAATCAGGAGAAATTGGGAGCCGAAATGTTAAAATGAGTGAAATGGAAATTTGTATCTGGGAAAAAAAATAAAGCTATAATTTTAACAGTGAAGATGTGTTTACTGGTTTGAATTTTGTATATCTGTTGACATCAAAACAAAAGAGTCTGGGACAACGTCTGCGTCCGAAATCGCATGCTCTCTTGAGTAGGTGCTAAAAAAGTATGATATATATATATATATATATATATATATATATATACACTCACCGGCCACTTTATTAGGTACCCCATGCTAGTAACGGGTTGGACCCCCTTTTGCCTTCAGAACTGCCTCAATTCTTCGTGGCATAGATTCAACAAGGTGCTGGAAGCATTCCTCAGGGAGTTTGGTCCATATTGACATGATGGCATCACACAGTTGCCGCAGATTTGTCGGCTGCACATCCATGATGCGAATCTCATGTTCCACCACATCCCAAAGATGCTCTATTGGGTTGAGATCTGGTGACTGTGGAGGCCATTTTAGTACAGTGAACTCATTGTCATGTTCAAGAAACCAATTTGAAATGATTAGAGCTTTGTGACATGGTGGAAGTAGCCATAGGAGGATGGGTACATGGTGGCCATAAAGGGATGGACATGGTCAGAAACAATGCTCAGGTAGGCCGTGGCATTTAAACGATGCCCAATTGGCACTAAGGGGCCTAAAGTGTGCCAGGAAAACATCCCCCACACCATTACACCACCACCACCAGCCTGCACAGTGGTAACAAGGCATGATGGTTCCATGTTCTCATTCTGTTTACGCCAAATTCTGACTCTAACATCTGAATGTCTCAACAGAAATCGAGACTCATCAGACCAGGCAACATTTTTCCAGTCTTCAACTGTTCAATTTTGGTGAGCTCTTGCAAATTGTAGCCTCTTTTTCCTATTTGTAGTGGAGATGAGTGGTACCCGGTGGAGTCTTCTGCTGTTGTAGCCCATCCGCCTCAAGGTTGTGCGTGTTGTGGCTTCACAAATGCTTTGCTGCATACCTCGGTTGTAACGAGTGGTTATTTCAGTCACTGTTGCCCTTCTATCAGCTCGAACCAGTCTGGCCATTCTCCTCTGACCTCTGGCATCAACAAGACATTTCCGCCCACAGAACTGCCGCTCACTGGATGTTTTTTCTTTTTCGGACCATTCTCTGTAAACCCTAGAGATGGTTGTGCGTGAAAATCCCAGTAGATTAGCAGTTTCTGAAATACTCAGACCAGCCCTTCTGGCACCAACAATCATGCCACGTGGCCGGTGTATATATACACTCACCGGCCACTTTATTAGGTACACCGATCAACTGCTCGTTAACACTTAATTTCTAAGCAGCCAATCACATGGCGGCAACTCAGTGCATTTAGGCATGTAGACATGGTCAAGACAATCTCCTGCAGTTCAAACCGAGCATCAGTATGGGGAAGAAAGTTGATTTGAGTGACTTTGAACGTGGCATGATTGTTGGTGCCAGAAGGGCTGGTCTGAGTATTTCAGAAACTGCTAATCTACTGGGATTTTCACGCACAACCATCTCTAGGGTTTACAGAGAATGGTCCGAAAAAGAAAAAACATCCAGTGAGCGGCAGTTCTGTGGGCGGAAATGCCTTGTTGATGCCAGAGGTCAGAGGAGAATGGCCAGACTGGTTCGAGCTGATAGAAGGGCAACAGTGACTGAAATAACCACTCGTTACAACCGAGGTATGCAGCAAAGCATTTGTGAAGCCACAACACGCACAACCTTGAGGCGGATGGGCTACAACAGCAGAAGACTCCACCGGGTACCACTCATCTCCACTACAAATAGGAAAAAGAGGCTACAATTTGCAAGAGCTCACCAAAATTGAACAGTTGAAGACTGGAAAAATGTTGCCTGGTCTGATGAGTCTCGATTTCTGTTGAGACATTCAGATGTTAGAGTCAGAATTTGGCGTAAACAGAATGAGAACATGGAACCATCATGCCTTGTTACCACTGTGCAGGCTGGTGGTGGTGGTGTAATGGTGTGGGGGATGTTTTCCTGGCACACTTTAGGCCCCTTAGTGCCAATTGGGCATCGTTTAAATGCCACGGCCTACCTGAGCATTGTTTCTGACCATGTCCATCCCTTTATGGCCACCATGTACCCATCCTCTGATGGCTACTTCCACCATGTCACAAAGCTCTAATCATTTCAAATTGGTTTCTTGAACATGACAATGAGTTCACTGTACTAAAATGGCCTCCACAGTCACCAGATCTCAACCCAATAGAGCATCTTTGGGATGTGGTGGAACGGGAGATTCGCATCATGGATGTGCAGCCGACAAATCTGCGGCAACTGTGTGATGCCATCATGTCAATATGGACCAAACTCCCTGAGGAATGCTTCCAGCACCTTGTTGAATCTATGCCACGAAGAATTGAGGCAGTTCTGAAGGCAAAAGGGGGTCCAACCCGTTACTAGCATGGGGTACCTAATAAAGTGGCCGGTGAGTGTATATTAGTATGAATGTAATCTGGACGTACTACAATTGACATGTTGTCATTATCATGTGACCTATACCAGCATCAGTTACGTCGCTTCACTGCCATTCACAAACCCTCTCCCGTGGCCTCATGGGATAGTAAAGTGTCCATCATAAGCACACTTCAGAATCTCATCGGAATCGGTAGTAGGTCATCCTGGTACTTTTTGCATACCTTTTTATGATTACTGTGAATTCAGACATACTACTTTTATCACATACTATTTTTTGCCTACTATATAGGGAAGTATGTGATTTTGGATGCACCCAATTTTTTAAATGGATGGATCCCACAAATTCTGAACCATTTTCATGAAAATTAGTAACACTTTTGGTACCATTAGTTAATCCTTTAACTAATCTTAAGTAACAATAACATGTGTTTGTACATTACAACAGTTGTAATACAACTGTTCATTGTTAGCGTATACATAATATAGCCTAATATATAACCTTTGATTTTAAAAATGCATTAGAAATCAACATTACCTGAGATTAATAGATGCTGTAGAAGTAGTGTTTATTCATGTTAACAATGGAACCTTATTGTAAAGAGTTACCGAAAATTGTCACACATAATTGACATATCTTTTTATTTTGTAGTCACAATAATGAGGTGGAAAAAATATGTTTTGTGAATGTGCCTAAAAATATAAATATAGTGGAAATAGGTTAAACATTAGGTTACTACAGTATTGGCAACAATAAAAAAAAAAAGAAAAGGATTTTTGTTCAAATTCGGAAAATTCTTCATGAAAATTATGACATAATTGCTTGCTTCAGATAGATAATTTGGAAAAAGACAAGGCTTTAATGTCTGAGGTGAAAAATGTGGGTTTTTGTTATTCAGAAATCAAAGAAGCCAAATAGTAGAACTAAGTTAAAATTGTATCAAAATATTATTTGGTGTTTATTCTATGTAGGCTTATATATCTGTGCATGAGCTGCTGTCAATACACTGTGCCTCAGTGCGCATGCGCAGGACCAACTGAAGCGAATGTGCGTTCCGTGAGGTGACAGCTGTCCCGATGATATCGATGAACGGTGAGAGTGTTTTTATTAAAAAACAGCCAAACAGCCGTAAACATATTAATGTCTGTGGATGTGTTATGTGTTTTGAGTATAAATGAAACAGTGTCTGCTTGTCGGAGGGTTAAAATGACGCTTGTTTTGATGACTAGAGCCCGTGTTAGCGGTAAAGCTAAGCGCGAGCACGTTTAGAGGATCTAATGTTTGGATTTTCACAGATTGTTCTTTTCGTATGAATTAATCGGTGGATAATTGATAAATACATTGGATTAGTAAAGTCATATAGCCCGTTTACGATGAAATATCCTCGATCTGATTATGCATGTTGCTGGATTGCCCTCCATTAGTTACTCATACATAGTGAATTGGGGGTGGGGGTGCCTATGACAGCGTGTCTAATATGTATTCTGTTATATGATATTCTCTCTGATGCATGGCAGTATTCAGCAGTGATAACAGCCTTCCCCAGAACAGCCACGGCAAAAAGCAGAAGAAGAAAAACAAGAAGCACCGCAAAACAGCAGCAGTGGAGATCTCTAGTTTGGAGCTGGGGTGAGTGTGTCTAACTGGGCAGAATCCAGATCTGGGTTTCTGCTCTGTGAGATGCTGCTAAAAATATATAGGAGGGTGGCCATGGGAGTCACTTCTCCAGATAAGCATATTGACTCATGGCCCTCCCTCCCAGTCCATGCACGTGGAACCTATTTTAACACATCCCTGAAAAAAAAAATCTGAACAATACACATCATGGATAAGAACCACAGATCATGTACAGATATCATTTTCACACATTTGTTAATTTAGTACACACCAAATTTCAGTAAAGACTAAAACGGTCAAGTAAGTAAAATGACAAACTGTTCAAGGGTTAGTTCAACCCGAATCAAAATGATCACATATTTTACTCACCCTCAAGCCAAACACAATCGTCGTTATATAAAAAAACGATCCTGTCATCACAGTCTGTAAAAAGGGTCCATGGCAGTGCTGCGATTCAGATTTTCGGAAGTAGGCCGGAATAGCGAGAAGATGTAGAACAGATGTGTATGTGCTTCTCCTACATAAATATCACATGCTCTTAGTATCGTATTCTAAGAAGACATTATATTTACACCATCAGCTTCCATTACTGTTTATGCCAATAACACAGACAGAAAATGGCATGCTTTTAATGTTGCACTGAAATATCATTAATATCAAACAATGTTGCTCTATTTTGACAGAATGTCATTGTGTATAATGTTCATGTCTGCCATTATAATATCCACGTTGCTCTCTAGATATCATCATTCATCATTGGAAAAAAACCATATTGGTTGACCACTGTTGCTAACCCCTTTAGAAGTATTTGTTTAATTGTTTAATAAAAGCTAGATAGACTGAGACACAGTGTGGCTTTATATTAAGATGGTGCATTGATGTTTTGAAGCGCACAGATGGTCAAAGAATATGTATTTCGAGTGAGATCATAAGCCCTAGATATGAAAGTCACCGCTAGAGATTGCTTATGAAAAGTAGTAGCTGTTGATGTATTATTTATGAAGTAGTCATCAGTGATGCTTGATTATAAATAGTAACATTCTGCGCCTTTAAACATGGCTGTGTTTGGCATAGACAATAAAGAAGTGACGTAATGTAGAAGAATGTACTTTCACACAGGATGCCAACCACCCGATGTTGTATTAAAACACCACTTCTTCTCTTTTTTATTGCTCTTCAGACCCCAGATCCCCTCCTCCGATGAACTGTGCCACATCCTCACCATCCACAGACCCGCCACCCCTCCAGAGTCGCCCCCTACGCCTCCGTTAAACCTTTCCCAGAGCCCTCCAGACCTCCAGCCTCCAGCCCCCCTCCCTCACTCCATTCCCATCACAGTGGTTTCCTCACCCAGCGTCCTCTCGTCTCCAGACACACCTTCCACTCCCGTTACACCTTCACTGGGCCTACCTTCAGTTCTCTCCACGACTCCTCCCACTCCACAGGACCCGTCCAATCAGCTGACCCCACCACAAGCTTTGAGCCCTCCCCCTCCAGACTTTTCCCCGCCCCCAGCAGAATTACTCGGGTCAGATGACGAGGAGCAGGAGAATCCGTCAGATTACTGTAAAGGTAAGATTATCATCAGAAATCAGTTTTAAATTGATATTTTCTGTATAACCAATTTTAAAGATACTTATTGATCCTATATATAAAGTTGTTCAACCTAAAGAGATGGGCGATATCACCATAATCTAACAACATGATATAAGTCTCAGAAATATGTATCTCATCACAGTTAGTTTGTGGGGAAAAAAGAAAATTATTAAAATATTAGCCCTCTGGGGCCTAAGGTGTTTTTGGGGTCCTTGAGATGTTTGAAAGACTGCAAAATTTCAAAATAAAAAATAAAATAAAAATGATATATATATTCTACAGAAAAGTTAGAGTTGGAAACATCTTAAAAAAAAAAAAAATCCTCAAATTTTATATTCATGCAAATTGTATAATATCCAAGGTAAACATTTCTAGTAATTGTGCAGTTAATTCTCATTCTGCATTTTCGGAAAGTTTGGGAAGTTTTGGTTCAGATCATTTGCGTTTGAATAGCGCATGCTCTCCGTGGGCGTGTTCACATTAGCAGATAATGAGCTGCGAGAATGATAATGAGAACGACTGACATCTCTCTCTTTTCATACAGATTACATAAACAGAGAATATTTGTTTTTTTATATAAATTACTTCATTTAAAAGAAGAGAATTCAAGCTTTATAAAGACATATCTCTCGTGCCTGTGTGACTGAGTATTCGCTGAGTTACAGTTGATTTTCGGACGTGTTTCAGAATAGACTTCACTGACAGAGAGAAGGCAGAACTCGCATCATGTTTATTTTTCTTAATTTGCCGAAAAGCTCAACACTTTGTTTTTATTGTGAGTATACACAAAATAAATAGACACTTGACAGGATCGAATGATGTACAACACTTATATGTAAGATCAAAACCAACAGAGTATTTTGAGTCTCTTTTGCACTGATAAGAAAAAAAGCGAGCTGGTAACGCCGGCGCGCCTGCCGACCCCAGGGGATTAAACCCTATGAAATGACTGTTTTTAATAATCCAGTGAATTGAGTATTTTCCAAATGAAAAGCTCATTTTTATTTGGGACATTGACGCAAACCAAAAAAATGATATTCCTAACAAAAAATACATCTGGTGTCAGTGCAAAAAAAGTGTTATTTTAGTATTATATATATACTTTTAAAGTTTTCATCAAAATTTTGATTTGGTTTTAATTTTAGTTAAATTTTTTGTCATTTTGTTATGTGCTTTTGTCATTTCTATTTTTTTTTTTATATTACTGTTTAGGTTTAATTTTATTTTTATTTCAGTTTTAGTTTTGATTTATTTCCAGTTAATAATTTATTTCAGTTAGTTGCTAAGGCAACATTTCATATTTTCGTTTTAAGTTTTTCATCTAATATTTATATTTATCTTATTTCAGATTTATTACAATTAACTAGGGTTGGGTACCGTTCACATTCCAACCTGGAATTAGGTACCCAACGGTAACTTTTTTCGGTACGTTACTCTCTGTGAAATAACAAAACATTTATTTCAGTGAAAAAAATAAGTCCAAACCTCTCAATTTAAATATTTCTTTTCCATTTATTTAGAAATATTACACATTAGACAAAATAATCCTCTACCTCCAAAAACCGTCCTTACAACCTCCAGCCTCAATAACTGTAAAGAAACTGTAAGTAATTTATAGAAGTGTTATTATGCCAGAGGTGCTTGGTCGCTGTCTGCCATTGTCTGTGATGTTTGTATACTGTAATATTTACCCGTAGTGGTTTCATACTAGGGTTTCGGACATTTCTCAATATTAACGTTACTATTTGTTTTACATAAATAACACGGTATGGAATTTCGATGCAGCCATTGGCTCAAGTGTTATGCTGTCTTCACGTGCTATCGGAAATTTCCTACTTCCCACTTCTAAAGTCGGGATTACGAGCTCATCGCATTCAAAGTTTGACTTGAGAGGGCGTTCATGTAATGATTTTGTTTATGAATTTAACTAGGATTTAACTATCGTAAAAATATTTACGATAATTCCGATAGCGTGTGAAGACCGCATTAACTCACGTTAGCATCAACCAACACAGTGAAAGTTTTCTCCAACAACAACTTATCAAATTAACTAGGTTAATTAATTACCTGAAGATGTTGATGTCCACGCCTCACTGATGAACATATTCGGTTTTCAGTAAATGATGATTGGTAATAAAAGTTACCAATAGACCAATTTCCAGCCGACGTCACAGTTACGTCACGGCGCTAGCTGGTGGCAGAACAAAGGGAAAACTGGAGGCGGCAAATACAAACCAGCACAGATTCGGCTACAAAATAAGGATCTTAAATTATTCTTCTTATTATTAAATGTCATCTTGTTGTGTTGTTGGGTGCAAGAATCAATGAAAAATGAATATGCTTTATCTGCAATTTTTTATTTCTAGAAAATATTCACCTCATTAAAATTGCACCGTAATGTCACTCTTTACATTGTCGTCTTCATCGCGCTGGCTCGGCAGAACTGCGGATCGTACCACACAAGTCTTGTACTTGACCATTCAGCACATAGTTATAGGCATCTAAAGATTTATATGCCCTCTGTTTCTCTATCGGGTAGGTGTAGAAGTCAGGCCACTCAACCGGAGGTAGCGTTAACGTTAATCCTGTCAGATCCTCAATCAATGAGTGTAAGGGTCGGCCAATCTGGTTCCGTGCGTTAAAATTAACTTTTGCAAAAAACAATCGCGGTCCTGGAGACCGAGTGACCTTGCACATTAAGATAAAATCGGATTTTCTCCAGTCATTGTTAAAAACAAGCTAACAAAACTTGCAGACTTTACGTTAGTGAAGCGGCCAGAGGGATCGTTCTGCCACCACCTAAGCTCCGCCCACAGAAAAACGTCACCATGTTTACCAACTGAAAATTGGTCTATAGACCATTAAAGTAAAGCAAAATTCTCAGCGCTAACAATATATATTAGTATATCTCATTAAACAACAAATTTAACCCAATGTAATATTGAAATTGATTTCTGCACATTGTAATGTCATTTTTTTCTGAAAATTGTTATTGTATACATATATTGTACATATATCTGATTAAGCAATCTATTAGCAACCCCACCCACCCCCACACCTGACCCACCCACTTTTTAAACCAAAGTTACGCCACTGGCGCCAATGGTCTGCTGATTGTTGTTGTTACACTTTACAACAGTTAATTCAAATGTCCACTTTATCTTTAACATTTGGCACTTCTTTACGATAGAAATGCTTGTGTCAACTTAATTTCTTGAACAAGAACATGTGGACATCAAAACATGCAAACTCAGAGCAAGGGTTTAAACTTTTAATTTGAAATCACAATAGACAACAAAGCACTCCGAAACCTGCAGTGCATATAATTATTTAATTGAATCGCAGCCTTTGTGATTTCACAATAACAATATAACATATCGTGCAGCGGCTGCAGCCTTAGAAAACGGTCTAATATTGCGGTCCGTTGATTCTCGTCCGTGGAATGTCCCACTTCTGATATTTTACTGGTTAAACGACATGGGTAAATTGCAATCAAGGATTTTTTTTTAAATCGAGAGCTCAAATTTAATTGAGAAACTGTGACATCCCTAGTATCTTGTAACGAATGTCACTTCAGTTCTACTTTCCGAGGATGAGACCGAATAAGCACTGTAAAAGGATTTGCCACAAACTCAACTTGCCACAATTTGCCACAAATGCTGATATCACAAGACCGCTTTCACCTCAACGAGAAATATCGTCATGCTACACCCTTACCCTAACACCCCTAAGTTTCAGTTCTCAATAATATCCCTGGTGCAAAACAGCTTCACCTTATGAAACAAGTCTTATAACAGTAACAACTAATATTACAAAACAAATGTTTCCATCTCTGATTTCTGATTGAATGAGTTGCATTCAAAGCTGTTGTAAAATAGATGCTATATGCGTTATTATTACAGCAGTAATGAATGATAATGACTGGTTGAATGAATGCCATGTAACAATTTTTTTCAGGAGGATATTATCCAGTGAAGATTGGAGACTTATTTAATGGCAGATATCACGTGGTCAGGAAACTGGGATGGGGTCATTTCTCCACTGTATGGTTGTGCTGGGATCTACAGTGAGTATTTTACATGCTGGGATCTACACGAATCCTAATCCCTGAGATTAAACTGCTGGAACTAGGTGTGCAATCTCTAAATATTGATATGTAAGCCGATGTCAGATTGTGGATAGTCAGCCAGATAGTCATGTATGGATAGCCATCCGCACATGCTGTTTGACTGTGTGTGTGAATTCAACAATATATGAAATTTGTCTGTAGACGGAAACGGTTTGTGGCACTGAAAGTGGTTAAAAGTGCCCAGCACTACACTGAGACTGCACTGGATGAGATTAAACTACTGAAATGTGTAAGTCTGAGAATTGAATACATTAACCATTTTAATTTAATTTTAAAAACAAAGATGAATGTATATTCTGACAGAGTTTTTCTTTAGGTGCGAGACAGCGACCCCACAGACACCAAACGAGAGAGGGTAGTACAGCTCATCGATGACTTCAAAATCTCTGGTGTCAATGGTGTTCGTATCCTTTACTGCCTGTCACGTGATCAACATGCTGATGCTCCTCTGTTAGCTGTAGAAGCCTATACCATGAAGCCAGTTTAGGTGGCTAGCCAGGTATGTTTCAGTTTAGTTTGCGCCAACCCTGGGTTTTAGGGACTATGAAAGTGGTTTGGCTTTTAGCAGTGTTCATCGCTATAGTAACTTATGCTCCACGGCAAGTTATGTTCCAGGTAAGAGGTTGCAAACCGAACTTGGACCAATCAGCTGTGAGCAAAGGATAAAGTCACTCCACCTGTTTCAACTCCAAATTAAAGGTCACTACATAGCAAATGATTTTTAAAGACAAAATCGTCTGGCTTTTAGTAATGCTTATTTAGAAGAATAATTTTGTATGATTTAGATATTATTTATGTGATTATTATACCCTTAATCTATCACACATGTACAATTTTAGTTAATCAATTATTATTACGCAGAGTTTAAATGAATAAATATATAAAGGTAATATAAATACACTTTAGAATCTAACCTTAAAATTTACATAAACCCCGCCCCGGGAACGCGATTTATAGATTATCATGACAGAATATGCTAATCAATGACTAGAAGATAGCTACACATAAGCTACATAAATTCATCAAATAACCATTCAGAAATGTCCTGTTGCATTCTACATGTTGTCACTTCTCCTTGAGTCTCTCCATCATTGTCTGACTCCGGTTTGAACATAAAAGGCTAAAAGTTTTTGAAATTTTCAGTGCATGTGTCAGGTAAAAGGACACGAGCTGTTGTAGCTCTGCCCTCTTCTTGAAAGGGAGCTGTAGCTCATTTGCATTTAAAGAGACAGACAAAAACAGTGTGTTTTTGCTCACCCTGAAAAAGTGACAATTTTAACATGCTATATAAAAATATCTGTGGGGTATTTTGAGGTAAAACTTCACATACACACTGTGGGGACTTATTTTACATCAGTGAAAAGGGCATTATACCATCCCTTTAAAATGTAATCAAATGAAAATATAACAATCCCTACACAACAGAAAAATAAAGTTACATAGCCCCCCCCCCCCATTGTTTTGTAAATCTTAATAATAATAATATTTTTCTGCCATAATTTTAAACCATAAAGGTTAAACCAAACATTTATTTAGCAAATTTCTGTGTTGTATTTGATGATAGATTTTTATCAAAAAAGCTCACTTGAATGTCTGTAGCAGACAAAACTGTGCCACTCATTCACTCTGGGATGCGTTGAACAGGCTGACTCCATATTTAAATAGCAGGTTTCTTGTGGTTTAATAATCACAGACTCTGTCCTTGACTCCTTGTCCTCTCAGATGTGTGTATGGTACTAGAGGTGCTCGGCCACCAGCTGTTGAAATGGATCATCAAATCGAACTACATGGGTCTGCCTCTGATCTGTGTGAAGAGCATTCTTCGACAGGTGGGTCGGTTTTCTGTTCATAATAATGTCAAAAAGAAACAAGAGTTTCTCAGTATACAATGCCTCGTTTTATGAGTACAGAACCTATTTGTACTACTGTAGAAGTTTGGTACCATTCTGGGCATTATGAGTAAGGTAATTTTACGAGATACAACATTGGATTTATTAGTGCCTGCACTAAGCCATACGGCTGATATCTCTAAATAAGGGGGGGGGTTTGGCTCGAGGTCATGGTGCAGAGAACCCTAGGTTGAAATTTCTTTGAACCATCCCTTTAAGCTTACAGCTATTTTGTGTTGGTTAAATGGTTGTTAAGTAAGATTTAATTGGTTAAGGTTAATGATTAATTGATCGTTAATTTAAATATAAATTGATTATGGGAATTTATGTAAATTGACATCCCTAATTCAGACACGTCTTATTTCTCTCCTCCAGGTTCTTGAGGGCTTGGATTACTTACACACAAAATGCAAGATCATCCACACAGACATAAAGCCTGAGAACATCTTGCTGGACGTGAATGAGGTGTACGTGAGACGGCTGGCGGCAGAGGCCACGATATGGCAGAAGGCTGGAGCTCCGCCCCCCTCCGGCTCTTCCGGTACAGTTCTTTGTTGTTTTTTTAAGTGTAACTCACATCAGGCTCATCTGAGACTCACCTTAGTATCACGTGAGATTTGCGTAACACTCCCTTCAGACTTATTTAATGCTTGCATAGTAAATGCATTTACTCTATAATAGATAATATGTAAAGAAACATTTTACTTTATATTCTAGGGTTGTCATAGTACCAACATTTCAATAGTCGGTAGGGGTGGGAATCACCAGAGGCACCACGATACGATATTATCCCGATACTTAGGTCACGATACGATATTATTGCGATTTTAAACATATTGCGATATTCTGCAATATATTGCAATTTATTACCTTTTTTCAACTTCAATTTTTGCATTTTTTCCAAACAAAATTATTACATTTATATCGCCTAAATTTTTGCGCTCATTGCAATTTTTACAATGGGGGTAATATTGTTAAGAATTTACACAACACAAGGAAGCTTGATTTAAATTGTTTAATTAAATTGAAAAAAGTAGCACAAATAAATACAATAGAATAAAGATAAAAATAATGACAAATAAAGAGAAAAGTTTTTGAATAGGTCTAACACTAGTATTCATAAATACAGAAACTGAATAATGTAATCAAATGGATATACAACACTGTATACTACCCAGATAGTAACACTGGGTAATATTTTAGTCCTGACTAAATTAAATACATAGGCTATTAATCCTGATTCCTTTAACTTAAAGCCATCTTTTGTTGTTTTTTTGACAACAAAATTAATGACAGACACACATGGCTGCCGTCACTTTAAGAGCTAGTGCACGGATCCTGTGTTCATTATACTGGCATGCGTTTTATGCTTATTAAAGACAAAACCGACTATGTTTAGAGTATACTCACGAAGACCGAAATTGACACAATTTTGCATGTTAAAGCAATACAATCCGCGAAAAATAACATTTGTTACTGGCCAGCTGTTTTTGAGGCGGATTTTCTATGAATGTGCGCATAGAAAATAATCTCAGAGCGCGCGAACACTGATTAGTTTAAAATCGCTTAAATGTTTAAACTGGTAAGACTTAAAAAGACGTGCAAATGGGAAACTTCAGTCACGATGCACTGCTGGCCCGATTGTGCAAGTGAATATTCCGTCATGTCCCGACTCCTAAACGCGAGTGTGTATTATCGCCGCAGCGCTTGATGCTTGCCTTGCACAACACATTTTGAGAGAAGAGAGATAGAAGACGCGGCACCGCTGAACACTCACGCAGACACGCACTCTACTACCAAAGTTAAATTCTCATGTGTAGCTAATTTAAATAATAAAAGATCGATACTTGGCGCCCGTGTATCGATACAGTATTGCCACAGAAAATATCGCGATACTATGCTGTATCGATTTTTTCTCCCACCTCTAGTAGTCGGTACCAATACCAGTAAAATTTTGCGGTTCTCGAAATCAATTTTGGTATCGGAGCAAACTGTTGAGGTTGTAGTTTTTGAATGAAAAATCACTGTCAGTCATCACAGTTTCCGATTCAATCGCATATTTAAATACGGTTGTCAATCCAGAAATGTTGCAGTGTACTTAGAGGCATGAACAACTAAAATTGTATTCAAATTTTGAATGGGTATTAAACCGAAAGCAAGAGAAGAGCCTCCTTTTTAACCATTAAAGCTGCCTGTCATACAATAAAGCAACACTTTGTTGGTTATAATAAAAGGTTATAATGAAAACCTTGTACCTTAGCTGTGTTAAGCGGATTCTGACTAACTTTCTGACTAGCACCTCTGATGGGTCATTGTGTTCACGTGCTTTACAGAGTTTGGCTACAATGCTCAACCTTGTAAAAACACACTATAAACCTTTGGCGCTCAGAGAGCACTCAAACAAGCATGAAACAAGAGCGTTTGAAAGCAGCGTCTATCAGCAGGTACCAGATGTACTCCGTGCTATTGGTACTGCAGAAATGCTGGTACCATCAACTTTTTTTCAGTACCGACGGGTACGGTAGTACTGTTACGTTTGACAACCCTATAATATTCATGTAATGTGACGAACAGCGTACACTGCTGTAAACCAGGGATACTCAAAGTTCAGGCTATGGGCCACTATAATCAAAATGTCTACACTGTAAACGCTGTCTTAGTTTTGTCGCACTACACTACTGACTTCCAGTATCACCACAGATCATTGTAATGCAGTGTATTTTGTTGCTTGAAGTGTAGATGTGGTGTAAAACATGCATTCAGAATTATGGTAGCCTAATCAGTTTTGAAATTCAATTGATTCTTCATTTTTAGTTTGTAGTTAGTCTGTGACCGGACTGAATTTTTCTTCGTCTTATTGTATTTCTAAACTACTGAATCTGATTAAATCTTTCAGAACTTTAAATGTGAATTTTACATGTGAAGTAAGTTAATTTATGAATTTTATTAAGTCAGCATAAAATTCACAATAAATTTTTTTATTCATGTTACTGATCATATTGTGAACAATTCATCCATGCATATGTTTATTTTATTTTATTTTATTTTTCAAAATATTTTTGACCTTGTAATTTAATAAAAATGCCATAACTCGATCTTCTGGTGAAAATGACAGACTTCTCTTTGGTGACGTATGACAGACTTCTTCAATCATTTAGTCTGCACAAAACCCACCAATTTCTCACAATCGAATGCAAGCTTGTATTGAAATTTGCATACGTTTTGGAGTACAATGGCCACATCTAACGCAAACCAACTCACCAAGTCCCTATTCTCTTTTCTTTTTCAATAATCCGTTTCACTATCATGTACGACACAATTCACAGTGCTTCTTTTCATTTCATCACGACTTTAATGTATTCATGCATAAATAAGATTTACAGTTTTTAATTCGTTGACATTGGATATTGTGCTGGAAATGCCTTTCAAAGACTGACCAGCATTTATTACTGTTTTGATTAGAAACACGAGGCTGGGGGTGTAACACACAGCTCTGTGGTTTATACTTCTGTCTATACCAAATGTAAATCAAGTATTGCCTGGTTATTTATTCACTGACCCCTGGTCATCCTGCATTTTCTAAAAGTGTCCCTTGAGCGATATCTAATTTGAGTATCCCTGGCATAAACTATGACAACACAATGTGATGATCTCGACCTAATGATCAGTTGTACTTCAATTTCTCAAATTTAAAACAAAACCCAACTTGTAGATAATGAAGTTTGTTTTTAGTTTAATTTTTGATTTTATCGATTTGTTTTTGCAGCCTTACTATAGCAGTGACGGCCAATCCTTTTTGCACAGATTTGCCTTCCTGTGAATTTTAGCTCAAGCTCACAGTTCTTTCCTTCTCAACAATTGAGTCCAGGTCATAGATTAGGGGTTATTTTCCAAATGATTTTTCCAAAGTAAAGTTACAAAGGTAAGAAAGCAAGTAAGAAAGTCACTTGGTTGTGTTTTTTAACTTTGAATCGACTAGAAATGTGCCAATGAAATTGATCTGCATGCTGGTCGTCATTTCTCCTCTGCTTCTGTGGTGAATATGCCAATCATTTCTCATTTCTTCTCTGTCGTCTGTTTGGTTTCTAACTGGTGTCCTATCTTTTCTTTCTCTGTTTTCTTTTTCTTTTAAATTATTATAATTATTATCATTGTGGTTTTCTGTCCCTTCCCTCTTTCCTCTTCTGTTCTGACGGCAGTTAGCACGGCCCCAAGGGAAAAACAGGTACGTTCAGAGTTGTGCCTGCTGAAATACAGAGAGGATGTAGTTTGTCCTGGTGAAAAAGACACATGACTGTTATAATCTGCCTGCTGTAACCCTAACCCACCCCTGCCTCTGTAGATACACGGGCATGAACCACTGGGAAAGAGGCACATCTCCATGTCCAGGGTCAGATCCACTGATCTGGGCAAAGAGAAATGCAAGCTACGTTCAAAAAATGCTTTCATTTTGGCCGATAACTGATCTTTTATAAACATGTAAACGCATAAATGCATGAAGAAAACATTTCTTTTGCGTTCACCCAGTCAGTGGATTTGGTCTTGATGCTCTGTGTCGCCCCACAGATGTGTTGATTTCGCACCGTTAACTCCTCACTAACATTATTAGACCTTTCAGAGGTGTTTGCATGCTGGATCATTAAACCAGCTAGCTAATGTTCCTTCATCCGATCACTCTGCATTTCGGTTCATTTTCTTCTTTAGAATAAAAGTTAAAAGGGACTATTTTCAAAGTGAGAAAAGAGCAGTGCTGTAAGCTGTTCTCAGAAAGGAGCATTATCTTTTCTCACGTCATGACAGTGCGTTCCCGCTCCCTGTTTCCTGCTTTTCTTATTTCAGCCACCACCTCTGCATGGCTGAGAGTGATTTCACGAATTACTGTCTCATTTTCCTCTCTTCTGAATATAAATGAGATGAATGGCAAAAAGCAAGACTGTCTCTGCCACTGAGATGAGGAAAGAAATATTGAAAAGAAAAAAAGATATCTCAAAATTATCCGCTTGGAAGGGTGGAATATCAGGGCTGCCAACTTTTCAGTTCAGCTAGGAGTGAGAATTATTTGGGTGGTGTTGACACAAATTTCACGATTCGATTAATGTGCTTGTGATTCAATTATCGATTAATTTGGGTATATACATGGATATATAGTCTCAAGGAAAAAAAATCTTTCTCAACTAATGTTGTAAACTACACAGGGAACCCTGTCAGCTGGTACATTATTATTAAAGGTTAATTAACAATTGAGTTGCATTTAAGGACGTTTTTATAATAATAAAGTTATAATAATAACTTTTAATGGTATTCAAGTAAAATTATAATTAATATATAATATTGTGCATATAATTAATATGCATTTTCTTACTTACTATAGTTTAATGGTAGGTGACATTATTTACAAGCTTTTTTCCGCTGTTGAAACACTGACTGCGATTACATGAGACATTTCCATAAGTATTGGTTCCTTCAACATGAAATCTGATGTTCATTCATGTTTATTTTGTACTGTAACTTGTAGTAAAGAGGAAGAGATGATTGGTTCACGTGCGCTCCCGTTTTGCTTGAACCGAGGCTACAGCGATATGTCACGCTATTTTAAGAGTGCTAAAACGGTATTTATTGTTTGAATTTCGTAATAACACGTAGAAAATTTGAAAGCTGAGGGTGTGTTATCAAAAGTAACCAGCTCTGTCTTGTCTGTCTGCACGTTGTGCGTGTCTTCTTTGTTTTTTCACTGCGTGAGAATATGCATGTGTGGCGTGAGAGCGTGAGAACAGTGTCAAGTCAGACTCGCACTGAATGTAAGAGTTGAGAGTTGGCAGCCCTGGTTATATTCTTGGAAGAGACAGACCTGGATATTGAGTTTTATGTTTTATGTCAGTGCCCAATATGCCAAATTGGCTTTTAATTATTTTATTTCTAGTTTTATCATAAATGTCATAATAATAATATTAATAACATATCAATGATAGGATAAAATGTAATGTAAAATAAAATAAAAAATATTATTATTATGCATTTTTATCTTTGTTTTGGTCTGTTTTAAATGTTAGGCTACAGATTTTGTACTTGGATGAATGTTTCTTTAAAAAGTGTAATTATCCAAATAGTATTTTTTTTTCTTCATGCCTCAATGTATTTTTATTATAATTATTATGAATAATAATATTCATAATGATATGATAGAATTATGAGAAACAAGAAAAGGAAATATTCTTTTTCTTTTTCTTTTTCTCAAAAAAAAATTATTTTTATGCATTTATTATTCATTCATTATTATTATTATGCTTTTTCTGATTGTTAGGCTGCAGATTTCTTGAATGAATGGCTGCCTTTAAGTTTAAAAAGAGTAATTATCCATCCAGGATTTTTTCTGGATGTCTCAACTTAATGTTTTAGGTCACCTAAACTGCTTTATATTTTCTTTATTATGGCATATTTTAATTTACTTAGTCCTTGTGATTCCATCTGTGCATCACCTTCTTTTAAATCTTTTCACCTGGAAATGTTTTTGAGATGTTGTACCAATGGCTAATTAATATCATAATTGATTTAAAAGGTTTATAACTTTTGAACGATTGTATCCTCTGTTTTCTTCAGAAAGACATATCCATATCAGACATATTGCATGCACCTCACTGACCCCTTTAGATTACATTGACCCAATTCATTTGATATACAGTAACCAGAGTGTAACGTCTGAAATACAGTTGAGTACCTCTGATAAATATATATCTGCACCAACAGCAGGAAGTGTGATTTATAAGTAGCAGGGACACTATGCTGTCAAAAGAGCACCGTCCTTCAGATGAGACGTAAAACCATTAAAAATGGTCATTAAAAATTCCATGGCACTTATCGTAAAAGACTAGGGGTGTAACCCCGGTGCCCTGGCCACGTTCCACCTATTGGCCCTTGCCAATCATGGCCTCCTAATAATCCCCATCCACTGAATTGGCTCTATCACTCTCTCCTCTCCACCTGTAGCTGGTGTGTGGTGAGCGCACTGGCGCCGTCGCATCATCCACGTGGTGGTGGTTGAGGAGAGATTCCCTGATGTGATTGTGAAGTGCTTTGGGTGTACAGTAGTACATATGCAAGCGCTATATAAATGCCTCATTCATTCATTCAGCAGTAGTTTTACAGACAGCGCCAGACACGGAGGTTCATCAGGTCAGTTCAGTTAGACTGGGCTTAGTAGAGCAGACGTGTCACGGCTCAACCAGACAACAGACATGGCAACAGTCCTGCCATCCCAAAATAGTCCCAGAGCTGGAAATGGCTCGGTCGTGTCAGATATCCCCCGTTGCGGAATTCACTTTATGCTGCGTCAGTGTAAGCTTAGAGTGCATGCAAAATTGAGTGAACCCTGGACATCATGTTGTGAAAATTATAATTAATGCAGAAGGTTTGGCTTCTGTAACTAAGTAAAATAACCCTTCTGCATTCCATTGCTGGCACCTGTGCCTAATTTTGGCGACCCATTAAGAGACTTATTTCAAGGACAATCCCCCTGGAGTAACTTGAGTTTAAGTATTTAGGTCAAGACTCAAGGACACTTTTTTTTTGTTGGCGATTTTGAACCAGCAACCTTCTGGTTATCACATTCTGTTTGTATGAGAACATATTAACCAAAATAAGTGTGTGAGGTTAGTTTGTTCTTGCAAACATAACATTCATAATTGCACAGGTTGATCAGCTAACATCAGATATCATGCTTGTTTTAGAAGGTATTTTTAAATTTAGTTTCATGTTTCATGCTTTTTTTATTATTATTATTCAGCACTTTAAAACACTTTTTTTTTTTTGCCTATGTGTGTTTGTTTGTGTCTAGATGGGTAAATTATCAAAGAATAAGAAGAAGAAGTTGAAGAGGAAAGCCAAACGGCAGCAGCGTCTGTTGGACGAGAGGCTTTTGGACCTGCAGAGGATGGAGGACCTGGATGGGGTTTTGCCACAGGAGGCTTCTGGAAACACACGAGCGCTCTGGAGGCTCAGTGAGGACGGAGAGGACGATGACAGACAAGCACAAAGTGAGATACATTTATGTCTGTATTTAGCATGAACAAGTGGAGAATTTAACGTTAGTGATGTTTGCTCTGCGAATGAATTATCCTTTTGAACCATTATGTTTTAATGATTCTTTTGAACATAAAAACTGTTGATTCACATGATTGAAGGAGGGCTTTTTGAGCTGAGGGACTAAAAATAGTCATTTTTAATATATTATTATTATTATTATTTAAAAAATGAGATGTAAAATACTTTGTGGGGACGTTCTGTGAACGATTGAAAGATTATGCACTATATGGAGAAAAAGTTTGTGTAGTAAATAAACATTAACAAGATTAATGTGTAAAATCAATTAAAATAAATTTCGACTATATTTCAAGCCAGAAAATAATGACACATCCATTATGCACGTCTCTTGTTGTTCCTGGGTAAAAAGAAAAGAAAAAAATCACTCCAACATCTCAAAGCTAATGACAAATCTTTTTTCTCGAGTGACAAAACGTGTTTGCATTTCTATAAACAGTGTTATCCAGCATTAATGGCCATCAAATGGAAATCTAAATAAATGCACTGACTTAATGAACCATTTGCCAATGCAAGATGACATCTACATCAAGATGATGTTTTTAAGAGAATCAAGCTTTGACGCAGCTTCTCCTTTTTTACATAAATCACATGTACATATACACTCACCGGCCACTTTATTAGGTACCCCATGCTAGTAACGGGTTGGACCCCCTTTTGCCTTCAGAACTGCCTCAATTCTTCGTGGCATAGATTCAACAAGGTGCTGGAAGCATTCCTCAGGGAGTTTGGTCCATATTGACATGATGGCATCACACAGTTGCCGCAGATTTGTCGGCTGCACATCCATGATGCGAATCTCCCGTTCCACCACATCCCAAAGATGCTCTATTGGGTTGAGATCTGGTGACTGTGGAGGCCATTTTAGTACAGTGAACTCATTGTCATGTTCAAGAAACCAATTTGAAATGATTAGAGCTTTGTGACATGGTGGAAGTAGCCATCAGAGGATGGGTACATGGTGGCCATAAAGGGATGGACATGGTCAGAAACAATGCTCGGGTAGGCCGTGGCATTTAAACGATGCCCAATTGGCACTAAGGGGCCTAAAGTGTGCCAGGAAAACATCCCCCACACCATTACACCACCACCACCAGCCTGCACAGTGGTAACAAGGCATGATGGTTCCATGTTCTCATTCTGTTTACGCCAAATTCTGACTCTAACATCTGAATGTCTTAACAGAAATCGAGACTCATCAGACCAGGCAACATTTTTCCAGTCTTCAACTGTTCAATTTTGGTGAGCTCTTGCAAATTGTAGCCTCTTTTTCCTATTTGTAGTGGAGATGAGTGGTACCCGGTGGAGTCTTCTGCTGTTGTAGCCCATCCGCCTCAAGGTTGTGCGTGTTGTGGCTTCACAAATGCTTTGCTGCATACCTCGGTTGTAACGAGTGGTTATTTCAGTCACTGTTGCCCTTCTATCAGCTCGAACCAGTCTGGCCATTCTCCTCTGACCTCTGGCATCAACAAGGCATTTCCGCCCACAGAACTGCCGCTCACTGGATGTTTTTTTCTTTTTCGGACCATTCTCTGTAAACCCTAGAGATGGTAGTGCGTGAAAATCCCAGTAGATTAGCAGTTTCTGAAATACTCAGACCAGCCCTTCTGGCACCAACAATCATGCCACGTTCAAAGTCACTCAAATCAACTTTCTTCCCCATACTGATGCTCGGTTTGAACTGCAGGAGATTGTCTTGACCATGTCTACATGCCTAAATGCACTGAGTTGCCGCCATGTGATTGGCTGCTTAGAAATTAAGTGTTAACGAGCAGTTGGACAGGTGTACCTAATAAAGTGGCCGGTGAGTGTAATCTGTCCTCAGATTGTTAATTTTTCTCCAGTAAAGTATCAATTGGAAAAATAGAAAAAAGAAAAAAAAAGTAGGTTAAATCAAAATTTACAAGTTGCTTGTTCAGAAACGGTTTAGTTGGGAAATTGTAGTTAATTTTAGTGATTTTAATAAATAAAATATAAATTAGAGACGTTTTTTGTTAGTACAATCTCTATATCTCAATAAAATATTTTTTCAAATCCTTATCCAGTAGTCACCAATTACTGGAAAATTCATGGAATTTCTAATTGGTTCAGATTTTCTTAACTTGATGTTTGGGATGAGGGTAAAATATAACCATGCTTGCAGACATTTTGCACTTTACAGCTCATTGTTTTTGTTCTTAAGGTTACTGAAGAGATGAATGATCTTCAGGTTTTACATATAATAATAATAATAATAATTCATTACATTTATATAGCGCTTTTCTCGGCACTCAAAGCGCTTTACATAGAAGGGGGAATCTCCTCAACCACCACCAATGTACAGCATCCACTTGGATGATGCGACGGCAGCCATAGTGCGCCAGGACACCCACCACACACCAGCTTACTGGTGGAGAGGAGACAGAGTGATGAAGCCAATTGGTATATATATATATGGGGATGATTAGGAGGCCATGATGGACAGAGGCCACTGGGCAAATTTGGCCAGGATGCCGGGGGTTACACCCCTACTCTTTCGAAAGACAGGGTTCCCACGGGGTCTTAAAAAGCCTTAAAAGCATTGAATTTATGAATTTGGAAATAATACCTTAAAAAGTCTTTAAAAAGTCTTGAATTTTGATGTCTGGGTCTTAAAAATTGTGTTGTATGTCAGTGTTCATTTCATTGACTAAAATAATGACGAAAACTTTTCTTCAACGACATTTTTCACTGACGAAAACGAGACGCTACCTAAATAAAACCTAGTTTTGAATGACAAAAACTATGACGACAATCTATTGACATTTTCGTCAACGAATAAAAACTAGATGAAAATGTTAGATAGTGTCGATCCAGTCAGAACTGGTATCCTGCGTGTGTGGTAGATGCACAGTTGTACTGTAACGTGCTGATCTACCCCGTGGTCTCATAAAATGTTAAAAATGTAAACCAACCACGCACCAACCCGAAGCGTGGAGCCGTGCACATATACACCTATACAGCGCGCGGGTACTGCACTGAGCTCTCTTTCTTGTCTGAATGGACAAATACACACAACATTATGTCTAAATGTCCAGTTTGGAGAGTATTCATGTAAACTATGTCGGTTATGTCTTAAACAGTTGTACCGGGTGTGCATCAGTGCAATCGTATCCGCATGTCATTGGACATGAGCCGATGTCTTAAAGTGACAGTGGCAATAAACATAATGTGGTCTGTGTCATTAATTTTGATCAAGCAACAAAAGAAAAAGAGAAAAGCATTCACTGTTTGTTAATAACTTTAATAAGGATTAATTATATTTAATTCATACAAATAATTGTCTGTTTGAAAGAATAAAGAATTATGTATGTAAGTTGTTAGAAAGAATGTGTAAGACTGTAAAACTGGTTGAAGGAATCAACCTCACCACAGATCTGTAAGACAAAGGACCTTGCTTGCAAATTAACATCTGAACACCTCTCACACACACACTCCCGCATCCCCCACTCTTGCAGAGATCACCCACACTCACATAAGAATATATATATGGTTTCATGTGAATGATTATTGTGTTTAGTATCATTTTAAATGTTCCAGAGTGAGTGGTTCAGATGTCTCATTCCAAAAGAGTAAAACAAAAGGTAATAAGGTTTTTTAGAAGTTTAGAGATGACACACAAAGGAAGGTGGACTTTAGGCAAATGGCCTTTCTCCCCTACCCCCAAAATAATGTGTAACCTGAATGCAAATTACCATTGAAAAGAAGTTCTGGCTATTTAATGGAATGCAGCAAGGAGTCGTGGCTTTTTCTGTATCTCAGATCAGCCCGTGGATGCGGAGTCGCCGAGACTCAGCATTCATGTATTTCATGTCGGGTAAAAGATTTTCCTCTTTGTTCTTGAACATTTGATGATTTGCATTGATTATCTTTCAATTGATTATGGAATTGTTATAATACATTTACCTGACATAATAAATTGTTATATTTGATTATTCTAACAGACTTTGACTTTATTTTCATTGGAGTTAAAAGGAATAGTCAAACATTAACGTATACTTAATGATGCACAGATATCATTAAAAAAACTTTCATTTTATGGAGTCAGATGAAACGAGTTAATACATAAGATAAAATGTATTGTATTCAATTAAAAATCTCCTTGCCATGGGAAAAGACGGAACACGCGTTGAGACCTTCACCTCTAATCGATACCGCCATTGGATCGAATTAGACGGACTTACAAATTCATATATCATTCATTGAAAAGAAGACTGTGTTTTACTTTAGGAAAAGTGGTTTTATTTAATTTTAAGATATTTTTTTTTAAGTCACAGTAGTTGAATCTGTATCTGTATTGTCTGTTGAAACTTAAAAATTATTCATATTAATAGGTTAATATATGTTTTCTCCGGGAGTATATGGGTTTGGAAATTTTAGAGAAATTCTAAATTAACACATTACAATTTACCTAAACCCATTATATTTTAGTCGACAGTAGATTTCGAAAATCTAAAAAAAAAAAAAATCTAAAATCACTAAAATCTTATTGCATTTCGTCAACTAAAACTAGACTAAAACTAAAACAATTCAGATGACTAAAATATGACTAAAATTAGTTTGTCATATTTTTAGTCAAAAGACTGAGACTAAAACTAAATCAAAATTTGCTGTCAAAATTAACACTGCTGTACGTAACTTCTCCGTATTGTATTTTTCCTCAAAAGTTTCATTTGTCAACCACGATTATTATGATTTTTGATGTTTATTGTTCAGGGGTCTCTCAGTTCCCCATATTCCCAGCATGGAATAAGTAGCTAGCTAATGTTAAAACACAACTTAACATTGTTCGGCAAACTTTCTTGTGGCCTACTGAAATGTTTTTATTTTTCACACTTGCTTGGCTTATCATTTTTTACCCATTCCACATTTGAAAAATAAATGAACACAAGTTGAAGGATTTTGTTTTTCTTTGCTGGTAGGGACGTGAAATAGGTATTAATTTTTTATATAAATGGTCTTAAAAAGGTCTTAAAAAGACTTGAATTTAACTTGAAGAAACCTGTAGGAACCCTGGAAAGACATCCTGGGATTTTTAGTGACCACAGAGAGGCAGGGCCTCGGTTTAACGTCTCATCCGAAGGATGGTGCTCTTTTAACAGTATAGTGTCCCATCACTTTACTGAGGCATTAGGACCCACACAGACCACAGGGTGAGCGCCCCCTGCTGGCCTCACTAACACCTCTTCCAGCAGCAACCTGGTTTTCCCAGAAGGTCTCCCATCCAGGTACTAACCATGCTCCGCCCTGCTTAGCTTCAGTGGGGAACCAGTCTTGGGCTACAGGGTGAAATGGTTGCTGGCCATATGCGTCTATGTAGATATGCACTACAAGGATGCATACTGCATCTCAAAACCCCTGTTTTATTTCGTTCCATCTGACTGTTTTTGAACACAAGAACATGTCCTGCATCAAACTATATTTAAAACATGGACCCTTTTTAAATTAAAGGATCTTCTAGATTAAAGCATTATGAAGTGACTTTCTAGCAGCTCCCTGATTAAACTACTTAGAGGTGAAAGATATGAACTCTCGTGCCCGCGAAGGTCAGACTGAGCATTGTTAAATGGGATGGTCTAGTCTGTGGAGGATTGGTCCCAGCATTTTCTCTCTCTCTCAAAAGAAATGTAATCGTCACTGGCGTGCAAAGATCCTTGTGAGAGGCTGAAAAAGGAGGACTCATTTGTTGGCCGCATTCAAAGGAGCCTTCGTCTTTGTCGCACCGCTGTGAAGCATTCGGCCTTCGAAGGATGCCGCCTCTGAATTGGGATGCAGCTAAACTCTGAAGCTTAAAAAAATCTGAGTCTGTGCCAATTGTAAGCCTGTCAAATTCGGTCCAATGGCGGCATCCGATAGAACGGGTGAAGGTCTCTGCGCGTTACTGTCTTTCCGCGTGGCAAAGTAATTTAATTCCATTTAAGCTTTCATCTGACTCCATTTTATAAAGACCTCGAATTTAGATTAAAATGCCAATTGGTTAATGGTCATTTATATAATAGTTTAGCTGCACATTTGATTATTCTTTTTAACGCTTTACTTATATTTTACCCGTTCATATTAGGAAGCTATGTCGCTTTGAGGTCCTCACACCTTCTGTTTAACGCGGGTCTCACGATCACAAGCTCGCCAGCTTCGGTCACTAAACAGAGGTAATTGGCTATATACCTGAGATGGTCGCATTCACGCTTACACAATCAAAGATACTTTGGTGTAGCCCTCGTGGTTTTGCATACACTTGAATTTAAAGTAACGTTTACTTCAGGCAGCAGAGGTATGGCCACTACTACAGATATAAGCAGACCAACATTACTTCTCTTATAATAGCTTTGGATTGGCCATGCCGTGGTTTCCCACGTACACTTATCTAAAGTAACATTACATTTAAACAGAGGTTAGACACACCTAGATTTGGATTGGTCAAGCAGCAATTTTGCTGTTCTAAACGGAAATTCCCTTCTTGTCTTTGCAAACCAAGTACACTTGAATTAGTGCCAAATATTAGTCGTCACTAATCTGACGCAGACTTGCGGTGCGGTAACATACGAATCAGTTTAATCTACTTGGGAAAACAGTTAGAATAAAATCAAATGTTTACAATTTATTATGTCTGGTAAATGTAGCATGCCAATTTCATAATCAGTTCAAAGATAATAAATACAAAACATCAAATGCTCTGGAATAAAGAGAAAAGATGCGAACAAAATACATGATGCTGAGCGTCTTGCCCACACTCCGCATCACGGGCTAATTTGAACTACAAATCGCCCTGAGCCTCTTGTTGCATTTCTTTATATAGACAGAAACTTCTTTCACATAGAAACATTTGCTAACAATGGGAATTTGCATTCAGAGTTTACACCTTTTGGGAGCAGAATGCCATTTTCCTGGAAGACATCCTCCTCTGTGTGCAAGTAGGGATGGGACGATTACCGGTTTCACGATAAACCACGATAAAATCTACTGACGGTTAGTATTATAGTTTAAAATTTAATTATCATTAAAACCGTGTTTGATTATCGCGATTTTAATAACTCGCTGTAAATCCTGTCCAGCCAGCAACAGTCTGACGCAGGCGCAGCGCGCAATGTTTTTAAAAAAAATTATTATTCGAGAAGGAATTGCTGAAATCAGTGACCGTGCTCGGGAGATTTTCCAGTCTTTTAAGTGGACCAAATCTGAGGTCTGGTCATATTTTGGCTTTTACAAAAGTCCTGAGGGAAACTTGAACGAGGATGGTCACCCTGTCTGCAGAACAAAAAGTTGCTGCAATAGAAACACTTCAAATCTGCCGAGTCGTCTTGTGTGACCATCACCCTGTGTTGTATAGCGAACGCAAGGCAAGGTAACTTTGACCTCAATACCAAAACTACGTCTGGGAAATAATTGGGCACAAAATGTTGTTTTGAGTTGAAATATTTTATGTCACTCGAAATAAACGTGAAGCTTCCGCGAAGAAAGGTTCGCAGCAAGTGGCTTTGAGCCAAAGACGAACGAACAACTTCAAGCAAGACTATTATTAAGAGTGACATTAAGGGATAGTAATGTATAGATTCATTGTACACTTGTTACACCTATTTTTTTTTTACCACATAATTACGGGGACATATTGAATTGAGATTAATGTGTTAAATCTTACCTGTTTACAAATCCATTTTGTACAGCGTACAAAACAATCATCCAGACAAGATGATCACAACAATATTATCAAACTCTGTAAACAATAAATCAACTTTGATTTCATTTTCAATACAATCAAAAAAGGTAGACGCAAGACGGCAAGTTGTATTTGAATGAAACAAGAGAGCGTGCCCGTTGTGATACATGGATGTGCGCTGTGTAATAATGCGTTGCTATTGACGACGGGCATTATAAAGAAGGAAATGGCACAGAATAGAATCTTGCTTAAAAAACTGCATAGACCTGCATATTTATTTGTTGTTTGTTGATTTTCAAATATAAAACTTGTTGAAATGTTTTCAGTGTGAGCATCTGTTCTTTTTGAACACTTTCATCTCATTTTAACAAAACCGTGATAATATTGATAATCACGATAATTTTGGACACTATAATCGTGATATGAAATTTTCATACCGTCCCATCCCTATGTGCAAGTTATCTATAAACTCTCAAGAACTTTATTACCTTTTGGTTTACTATTTTGGGAATGAGACATTTGTACCAGTCGCACTGAGACATTTCAAATGATACCAAACATGTATAATACTGTATGATAATTATTCACATTAAACCATAAGATTTTTGGGTGAATATCTGGTGATCTCCGCATGAGAGAGAGACAACATGGGGGAGGTGATTGACTCGGGGATGTATGGAAGCTTGTTTCCGCCACTGAATAATTTTTTTTTTTTTTTTTTATAATTGCGACTTTTTATCTCACAATTGCAAGATATAAAGTCACAATTCTGAGAAATAATGTCACAATTCTGAGAAATAAAGTCGCAATTGCGAGAAAAAAAGAGAATTCTGTTCTGTTCTCACAATTCTGACTTTTTTTCTCACAATTGCGAGTTTACATCTCGCAATTCTGACTTTATAACACACAATTGCGAGTTTACATCTCGAAATTCTGACATCTTTTCTCAGAATTGGGAGATATAAACTCGCAATTGTGAGTTATCAGGCCAATTCTAAGGGGAAAAAAGACCCCTTTTCCCCCTAAGAATAGTTTATATCTCACAATTCTGACTTTACAACACGCAATTTCGACTTTATATCACGCAATTGCGACTTTATATCAATCAATTCTGACTTTATATCTCGCAATTCTGACTTTATAACACGCAATTGCGACTTTATTTCACGCAATTCTGACTTTACAACACACAATTGCGACTTTATATCACGCAATTCTGACTTTACAACACACAATTGCGACTTTATTTCACGCAATTCTGACTTTACAACACACAATTGCGACTTTATTTCACGCAATTCTGACTTTACAACACACAATTGCGACTTTATATCACGCAATTCTGACTTTATATCTCGCAATTCTGAGAAATAAAGTCAGAATTGCGAGATGTAAACTCGCAATTGTGAGAAAAAAAGTCAGAATTGTGAGATAAAAAGTCGCAATTACCTTTTTTATTTTTCATTCTGTGGCGGAAACAAGCTTCCATTGGGATGCTAGGTTCTCAAGACAGAGTCAAATGTTAATTTCGAGAAAGGTCATTTGTCTTCTCTGGGAGTGGTCGTTCCTCAACCAGACTGCCCGGAATTTTCTAATTTCTCAATTCTTAAACAATCATACAACACTGGGATTTTTAGTGAAACTAAAACTGCCCAAAATCTGCAGACTGGCTCTGGCTTTTGCATCTAGCATCGACTGTAAATTGGGACAAAAATCTGGTAAAAGTGGGCTAGTGTATTCCAGCCTTTAATTACACTTGAACACTCTGCTACACAAAATAACAAATACAAAATACTAGCTAGATATAAATCCAGAGGATCATCGTTGTATTATCGCTAACTATTGTATTGACTACGACTTTTTCCTCAATAAACTACTAATCACTGCTTATTAATAGTTAGTAAGCTAGTTGTTAATTTTAGATATTGGGTAGGATTAAGAATGTAGAAAATGGTCATGCAGAATAAGGCATTAATATGTGCTTTATAAGTACTAATAAACAGCCAATATCCTAGTAATATGCATGCTAATAAGCATCTAGTTAATAGTGAGAATTGGACCCTAAATTAAAGTGTCACCGAAAAAATGTGTATCGTAAAAATCGCTATACAAACATATTTGACTTGACACCTTTTCCTCTTGATGTGTCTCACAGTGAACGGTAACGGGCACTCCTTCATAGGAGCTCTGACTAAACACAGTCCTGAATCGGGCTCGTCGTGGCTGGAGGAGGGTTGTAACGGCTTCGGACCCCTGCGCTTCTCCAGCCCTGGATCGGGCCTATCCGGGGTGTCCAGCTCCATCCTGTCAGCTACCTCTGAGTCGGCTCTGTCCACACTGTCCGGATACTCCACTGAGCGCTCACTGCTCTCTCCCAACTGTACGTACTCTGCTTTGAGCTCATGGAAAAATACCAATAAAGTGCAACAGTTCATTTTCTCTATCGGAAAATTGATTTTAAACAATAAAATCAGCCTTTAAAGGAGCTGTATGTAAGAAATTTATTTCAATTAATCATAAATTTCCCCTGATATGTCACTAGACATTAAGAAATCATGTTCATTTCAAATACTTATCACTGACAACAGTAGTCCGGCCAGGATATTGTCATTTAAAAAGTGAATTTGCAGCCCTCAACTGATGTTGATGTTGTCATGTTGTGTTTTGGTCTGATGCTCCACCCTCCACCATCTACCAATCACGAAGTCAGTAGTGTTGCGGCATCCTGGTTGCCAGATCTGCTCTAGTTACCACAGCCACAGCTACAAACGTGTCGGAATCGGATCCTGCAGCATATCTGGCAACCTCGAGTCAGTAATTTGAAAGTGATTGCAGTACCTGTTTTGGCCACAATCTTACATACGGCTCCTTTAAAGCCAGCTCTACTGTGAGCTATGAGGTTGTTAACTGCTGTTTGCTTCTGTTAAAGCTGTAAGAAAAAGTTATGAGGACGGTAAAGATCTCAATGAAGAAGTTTATTGCAGCGTAGCAGTGACAAAGTACATAAAGCACCTTGGGTTTGATTCCAGACATCCTAAACTCAAACCTTTTATACAGATAAAATGTACAACCCACAATGTAAATAAAGTTACTCTTGTTGTAACAGCTGTGGTCTGTATGTTAATGAAGTTGAGACACCCCATTGTCTGAGATGGTGTTCAGAGTCCCTCACCTGCTCCCATTCGACAATTGATGACCATTTGCTCAGCATGGGATCACCCTATGTGGTGCAGAAATAACAAAACTGTTGACTTTGTTCTTTTCTATGACAATTAATCAATTTTGGGGAATTAGCTTATCATTGGAGTGGTATCTGGGTTGAGGCAGTCTGTCATTTCTTACAAAGTCATCAGATCACATAATTTCAGCAAATTGTTTAAAGGGATAGTTCACTTTGAAATTAATTTTTGGTATGTTTTAGCTTACTTCAAGGGCATCCAAGATGTAGGTGTCTTTGTTTCCGCAGTAGTTTTAATTTTTATATTTTTAGGTCAAACCGTTCTTGTCTGTCAGTCATATAATGCAGGTCTATGGTCACCACCTCAAAGAGCATACACAGAGAAGTCCAAATTAAACATGATTTAATGACTCGTAAATGTAAGTACACATTGATGGCCTAAGACAGGAAACGAGCAGTTTGTGTGAGAAAACGAACAGTATTTATATTGTTTTTACCTCTTGTAAACACACCCACGTCCAAGTGATCTGAGGGCACCGGCGCTTCGGTCTGCGCAAGCGCCGGAAGTGATCTCACTCATTGTTTACACAGAGATTTCGGAAGTGTTACCTTTCTGTGAAGATCTAAACATATTTAGATATACAGGAAATTGCAATGGAAGACGATTTCGATATATCAACAGACAACGTTGAATTTTTTTCGCAACCGCGCGAGAGATCACTTCCAGCGCTTTCCGGCGCTTGCTCAGACCGAAGCGCCCGCGCCCTCAGATCACTTGGACGTGGGTGTGTTTACAAGAGGTAAAAACAATATAAATACTGTTCGTTTTCTCACACAAACTGCTCGTTTCCTGTCTTAGGCCATCAATGTGTACTTACATTTACGAGTCATTAAATCATGTTTAATTTGGACTTCTCTGTGCATGCTCTTTGAGGTGGTGACCATAGACCTGCATTATATGACTGACAGACAAGAACGGTTTGACCTAAAAATATCAAAATTGAAACTACTGCGGAAACAAGGACACCTACATCTTGGATGCCCTTGAGGTAAGCTAAAACATACCAAAAATTAATTTCAAAGTGAACTATCCCTTTAAAATAATTGTTTAACAGTGGAATTTGTGGTGGAAAAACTACATTACCCATAATGCTGTACAGAATCCACCAATCAGAGTTGCGACAAGCAAAACGTGCCAGAAGAGCTCGTAAGCTCCACCCCATGATGCATTGCAAATGGTGAAATCGAGTCGGTCTCGCTATGCTGTCAAAATACTTAAATATCTGTGATTAAACCCACTCGCCCCAGACCTGTGTAGGTTACTGAATGAATCTGCGTTTTGATTTAATCAATCGGGTGAATCAACGATTCAATGGCCAATTCATACAGAGAGGCATTTACCTAATTCCTGAATGAATCAGCTGTTGTCTAGATTTTAAATCTTTTTTTAAATCAAATACTTCTATAAGTATTTTTCACATAGGAATTTCTCATTTTTAATTTGAGTTATAAGCCATGAAACACACCCACCAGACATGAGGTGAAAATCACAACAATTACGAACTTCGATTTGAAGCAAAAATCTGACAAAAGGTACAAGACCGTGTACTTGGCTTTAATGAGGGATAGAATTACAATCCCATGAAGCATTGCAAATATATAAAACATTTGATTTAAAGAGGTTTATTATGTACGTAGAAACTATATATTTTTATGGTCATTTCAAAATATGCATATTATGCACACAAATATTTAAGTCGTTTGAGAGCGTAGGGAGGGACACTGACTACATCATTCGCAGTGCTTCCTGGGAGTGGACGGGCGATAAAGTGTTATTTTGGTGCTATTTGCTTGTGTACATTCTCTGATTGGTGGAGATTTCTTTGCAAAATGTTGGGTAGTGTAATTTTTCTTCAGGATTCCTACTGTTGAACATGATTATTTAAAAATTAAGTTGAATTAATGCGACTGATGGCTTCACCAAAAGCATATAACATCGATTAACAACCTTGTAGCTCACAGTAGGTCTGTCTTTAAAGGCTTAAGTTATCGTATCATCTCCCCTATGAAGAAAACGAATATTATTTTTTACTTCTGGAACCCGACAGTTGCACTCTAAAGGCCTTTGATCTTTAATTAAACATCAGATATGTTCTGTTTGGCTGTAGTTATGTTGCTGGAGTTTTCACATCAGTGATAAAATGGTCTGTTTTTCCTCCAGCATACTCCGCTGCTGATTTCTTAGTGAATCCTCTGGAACCTCAGAACGCAGATAAAATACACATCAAGATTGCAGACCTAGGCAATGCATGCTGGGTGGTGAGTACTGTTGATTCCATTCAAAAAGTGGATCACGTCAGGTGCTGGTGATGTATGATGTTTACTGATGTCCTCTCCTCCATATCAGCACAAGCACTTTACCGAGGACATCCAGACGCGTCAGTACCGAGCTCTGGAGGTGCTGATCGGAGCCGAATACGGACCCCCTGCTGACATATGGAGCACTGCGTGTATGGTACGAACTCATTCAGTGCGATCAGGGTTATTATGGTTAACCAAAACTAAAACCATCAAATAAACCTTTTCATTACTTGAAATAAAATAAACATTAACTGAAGCAATCCACCATCAAATTAACAAATGTCTCATAAAGATCATCCCCTTCACAATCTTTTCCCACCAAAGTCACCTTTATTTATATTGCGCTTTATAAAATACAGATCATTTCAAAGCAGCTTTACAGTGATAATAATGGAAAATAATGATTCAATGATGCAAACTGAATTCAATTCTGCTGTAAATCAGCTCTAAAAAGACGAAAATAAGCAGTCATTATTCAGCTGATATCAGTGTTGATTCTTTTTGGTTCAAAAACTGTGTAAAGTACATCAATTATGAAATGAGTTCGATTCAGTTATAAAGTAGCTCTGCTGAAAACAGTGATGTCATTATCCAGCTAAACAAGTTGAGTTCTCATCCAATAGTGTCAGTGCAGTTAAATCAGTAAGGACAAAATGATGTCAGTTCTTGTGTTAGACTGTTTCATGAAAATAAGGCAGATATTTAGGCTTTGTTATATTATTAGCTATGTTATAAGCTTGTTTTGTATAACCAGTGTTGTGCCTGAACGCGTTCATTGAACGATAGTTCATGAACTTGTTCATATTTTGAGCGAACGTGAACTGAACGTACTGTATTACTGCCTGATGAACGATACTGTGAACGCGTTCGTTCTGGTGTCTGTGAACGCACGCTCTCTCAGTTTAACTTCGTTCAATAGGGTGCCAGATTTCTATAGAGCCTTCCTGGCGAAAACCCGGCTAAAACACACGTAAACAGGCCTTAATATGTAGCGAAAAAAACACCCAATCTGGCAACACCAGCCACCAGTGTCGCACCGCGGCCGCCGTATGCATCATCAAAACAAAAAGCAGCATGAGGTCGACAAAGCAGCGAGGAGGCGTCGGATGATCATTTAAACGAGTTTTATGACAAGGTCGGTGAGGATGGGAAAAATCTTACATTTTTGTGCAAACTTTGCCCACCGATAAAATAATTGCTGTCTGTGGTTGTATATGGGCTGTGGCAATAATTTAAAACAAAATAAATAGCTCGCATCAACATATGGAAAAAAAGAACTATGAACTAGTTCAAACTCAAACTAAAATTTTTAAGTATGAACTATGAACTAAAATGTGTGAACTGAACTTTGAACTAGTTCATGTAGAAAGTGAACTTTCCCAACACTGTGTATAACACTGATGCTAATCAGCACTGACCCAACATCCACTTTTCCACAGTCACACAGAAAACAGTCTGAGAAGTGATGAGTCAGGATAGTTGACTAGTTGCATATTTTAACAGTGGTATTCTTTTGAAAGGGAGTGATTTGAGACCCCTCTGTGCTCCTGCTATTTTGCCAAGAGATATCTTATTTATTTTCCCATTTTATATAAGACACAGGACGGAGTGACAATGGACCAGACAAAGGTCTTTGTTCCAGTTTCAGTTTTTATATGCTGACTACATTACCATAGGAACACATACATATCCAGAGAAACATGTGGTTCCCATTAACATAAGAATGTATATACTATGCTATGCTCGGTGGAAAACACTGCATATACATTTCAGTCTCTAACTCCAGCACACACTCAGTCACACAAAGTCTCTCTCTCCCACATACTGTATGTATTCAGAACAGTATGTGGACAGTATGATTCATAAAATACAATGATTACAAATGATTATGAATGTATATAAAAAGTATAAAACAGATACATAATACTACTGATTATGAATATTAATAAAAAAGGTAATAATAATACTGAAACCAATGTTAAATGATGAAGTTTTAGTCTTCAGGCTGTCATAATAGGCTGGTGTTTTGAAGGGGAAGCAACTTCTCAAAGAAAGCTTAATTATACAGGGCTTCCTTGAGACCAGAGGGGAACGTCAGAGAGGGTCTAAACTATTGTAAAAAAAATAATATTCCAAAACTTAAACAGTGGTTTAAAAACTTTTAAAATAAACAGTCATCCGTTCTAATGTTATTTTAAGAATCCATAAATTGACTAATTAACATCTGATAACGATTGGAAATTATGATTGGATAATTGTGGTAACAAACCCTTTAAATGTAGCTATTCAGTTTGTTTTGGATTGTGAAGGATGAAAGACGCCAGTTTTCTCCCTATTATAATTTTTCAGCTCTGTGATTGGTGGTCCAGCTGTGAAATTACAGAGGGCCAATGAGAGACTCATTTCAAATGACAGGAAAATTGAACAATCAAATCGCCCCTCTAAATGGGTGGGCTTGTTATCACTAAGTTTATGACGCGTTCCACCCGCTGAAAAGCTGTAAAGCTGTAGTAAATCGCCAAAGGCGTAATTTTGTGCAGAAAGCTAAAGTTTTTGAAAGCATTTCAACCCCAGCAATTATAATCGATACCCCTGTGTGACAGCATCAAGAAGCTAAAGCTTTACTGCTGGACTTGTTTGCTGTTTGGGTCAGTTATTTTAAATCAAATAGGTCACGTGCTAACTGATTTGATCCGCTGACATTGTTTTATATAGCCTATGTTAAGCTTTATTTTGAGAAAACAGTCATTTCGCAGAATCACTGGTCAGTCTGTAAGTTTGAGTTCTGCTAAGTTTGCTTTTTCCCGACGAGGGAAGGGGTGAGAGGGCCCGGGTTCAAGAGTCACAGTTCACTACTACTTAAGACCAATTAGTCAACTAGTCATTCAGACCAAAACCTGCTGCCCGACGGATGAACATAATGGATCTGTACATCCAAAGAGGTCATGTGATAGAGCAGTAACATCATGTGTCTCAACAGGCGTTTGAGTTGGCGACTGGAGACTACCTGTTTGAGCCTCACTCAGGAGAGGACTACACTCGAGATGAAGGTCAGTTGTCTTGCTCTTCCTCAGTTGTTTTTTTCTAGTTTCAGATTTAACAAGTGTTATTGGCATGATCACATTTTTAGATGTATTATATTACTTATCAGTAACTGTAGGTCGGTAGTTTTGACCAGTATTTGATTCACGATGCCTCATGGGATGAGTAATAAATTGCCTCTTATAATAATTAAATTATGCCTAGATTTTTTTTCTCATTTCCAATACTTTTCTGCTTTGCATCAATCTCAGAGGTGTTTGGCTGGGTTCATGAATATAAACATGACCCTTCAAGATGAAATAATCAAAGAATCCTGACAACAGTTTTCAGTGTTGCTGCTAATAATCAGAAATGTTTCTTGAGCAGCAAATCAGGATATTAGAAATCAGCATATTAGAATGATTTCTGAAGGATCATGTGACACTGAAGACTGGAGTAATGATGCTGAAAATTAAGCTTTGCATCACAGAATTTAACTTATTCCTAAAATATATTCAAATAAAAAAGTTATTTTAAATTGTAATAATGTTTCACAATATTACTGTTTTTACTGTAGTTTTTATCTAATAAATGCAGCCTTGATGAGCAGAAGAGACTTCTTTCAAAACCATTAAAATAACACTTATAATTGAATTATACATGTACTGTATATGTCTCTCTCGTTCATTTTTTTTTTACACATTGTGGTCAATGACTGATAGATTTTTTAGTGTCATTTAAATACCAAAAAAAAAAATTTATATTTTGAATGTTTTTTTTTTTATATTTTCAAGTTTTATTTTAATAATAATTAAAGTTTTAGTTATTTTGTTTTTGACAATTTCATTATTATTTTTGTTTTTTTTAGATGTCTATATAGTTTTTATAAATTGTTGTTTTAGTGTTTGTTAGTTATTTTAGTACATTAAGTTAAACTACATGAAAATGAGAAATGCTGCCTTGGCAAGTTTTTTGTGATTTCAGTTAACTTTCATTTTATTTCAAGTAAAGAAAATGTTTTTTTTTTAATGGTTTTGGTTTTAGTTAACTATAATAACCGTGAAATATATAAATATCTATATTTGTACTATCTATAAAAATATGATCTGTATAATCCCTATGAAGAGATTATAGAACTAAGTCCACTTAAAAACTGGCCAGTCGAATAGAACCATACACTAATATGTTATGCGTTCCTAATATACACACAATAGAGATATTAGTTTGCTTTTTATATATGATAACCAGTCCAAAAATGTGTTTGTTTTTCAGATCATATAGCTCACGTCATTGAGCTGTTGGGTTCCATTCCTCCTCACTGCGCCCTCTCAGGCAGATACTCCAGAGAATACTTCAACCGGAGAGGTGACTTCTTATCAATGTCCTTCAGAAAATGCTAAATCTGCCTGTTGAAACGACTCTAAACACACAGGAGAATATCAGGGTGAATCTGAAGAACATGCCCATGTCACAAAAAAGGTTTGCATGAAGAAAATGAAGATGAGATTCAGCCATGAGGCCATTGACCAATCACAGAACATCATGAAATGCTGCTCCATTAGCTCAGTGCTTAATCTGACAGGGTTTTCCTCAGACATGTGATGAACGCTCAGGATATTAATAGCTCAGAACATCCTTGCTGAAGATCAGCCCGTTAGCAAAGTTCTCTCCGCTTGCTTTCTAAACCGCAGAGAAATGTGACCGAGAGCCTCTCGTGTCTCAGAACTCCAGCAGCTGCTGTTAGTGTTGGATTATTGTAGGATTTGTCTTTCCTCCACCGCTGTAGAAAGGAGAAATCCCACACCTGCTCATCGCCATCTCTCACTAGACTAGTAAATCACCTTTTGAAAGTAACTTGACACTTCAAATAAAGACGTCATTACACCAGTAGGTGGCGACAAGTGACTTAAAAAATGTATTTGTCATTGAATCATTCATTCAAGAGATTTGTTCAAAAACTCTGATTCATCCAGTTATGAACCCAGTAAAGTCTTTATGAATGAGTCATTGAATATTTTAATAACTTTTTTATTTTTTATTATTATTTCAAATTAATTCGATATTTTTTAACGGACTGTCTACAACAATTAACATTTTAGTTTGATGTCTGTTCAGAATTTTTAAACAAAAAAATCGTGATTCTCAATTTATTCAGAATCTTGGAGCTCTACTTAAAGCAGCACTAGGTAACTTTTCAACCTTCATAATATATTTCCAAGTCTCTTGTGATGGTACATCGACTTACAATAGGTTGAATGTCTGGCATAGCCTGACGGGGTCTGTAGCGTTTTTAATCGTACTTTTAAACTTCGGGTTTCGGGTAGTAACCGGCGAACAAAGAGAACTATAAAATTCGACTGCTTTACGGCATATACGTCACTTCCACCACCACCCCCACTTCCTTAAAATCGGACGTGTGAGCCAAATGTTATAGTCATGGCCGAAGCAGCACAGAAAAACAAGAAAGCAAAGGTTTTATCGGAGCAAAGCAAAAAGAGAAAAAGAGAAAGTGATCGCGTTAAAGGCAGAACGAGGATCAACATTGGGCCAGCATTTTCTCGCTGGCGTGAGCTGAAGGAGGAGGAGGGGTGCCCGACCGATGCGGACTTGGCAAAAAAATAATAAATCAAATGAAAGCCTATGTCTAAACGGCGTGTACAAGTTTAGTAGGGGCTACATTCTTGCAAGTAAATATATAAGATGTACAAAATCATATTTTAGGATACCTAACATGTCTGTGATATTTGTTTATTTGTCTTGCTATAATGCAAATCGATTTGTAAAATTTGCAGATTCATTTATGGTAGCTTGATATTATAATATTGACAATATATGGTTATTATCAACCACTCAAACATTGCATTGAAGTATCATATAGATTCAGTAAAACGGTAACCAATAGACTAGGCTACTATAATGACGCTGGCTTGTAAACGTGATCATCGCGATCATTTGTCGTTAGAAAAAAATAAAACCCATGAAATTATATTCATATGACATGCTGAAATATATGCCACTGTACCTGGGATGAAGACATTTCAGACAAGACGCAAGCAGAACACCTGCATGTGACCTCCTCCTACAGTGTTCAGGGCTATCATGGTTGTCAACAATTGCACGTGCATGTAGGATGACAGAGTTTACGACAGTAGTAGAGGACAATACTGTTTCCCAACTGTAGGGGGACCCCGAGAGCAAAAGTAACCTGGTGTTACTTTAATTCACAACTTTTCTTCACACACTGCTGAACTGCTTTTGCACTTTCATAGAAAACAGGCCACCTTGACAGTTGCATGATGCGTCCTTGAATGTGCATGATAATGCTTTGACTGAGTGTGTGTGTGTGTGTGTGTGTGTAGGTGAGCTGCGGCACATCTCGAACCTGAAGCCGTGGGGACTGTTTGAGGTGCTATTGGAGAAGTACGAATGGCCTCTGGATCAAGCGGCCCAGTTCAGCGACTTCCTGCTCACAATGCTGGAGTTCATCCCAGAGAAGCGCGCCACAGCTTCAGAGTGTCTACAGCACCCCTGGCTCAACTCATAACGCTCGCTGGTGTCCCTCTTTCACTGCGTCTGATCACCCGGTGCACACATCCACCTTTCAGAGTGTAAACTCACTGTTAAGGTCAAACAAACTGGAGATACAGTATCCTGAGCACAGACTTAGCTAGAACCTCAAACCTTTGTTTTTTATATCTATTTAAAGAAGCTTCGATCTCTGAACATGATGGAGATGCAGTCTGTAGTCTCTCGAGTTTTCATTGTACTGTCATTTAATTGTGTAGAAGGGTCACATATTTATGTTAAAATAGTGCCTTGACATGCCATCTGCAAAAACAAAAAAAAAGAAACAAAAAAAGCCCCTCACCTTTTTATATTTGTCTGCGAATATGTGTGAGGAATGCTTGTTTGTGAACATACAGAACACTATGAATACTTGACTAAATTCAATAAAGACTTGAGATCTTAAACCCTGTGTACTGAAGAATAAAGTATCACTTAGAACCATGGATGTGATAGTATTTTTTTTAATAATTCTACTGGTCACCATAACACTGTAGCATGTGCAAACATGGAAAAACAGTTTCGATTTTTTTCATGATGTTGAAGTATTTTATCTTACATTGATTACAAAAGTTTATCAGAATGTGTATGAGCTGTTTTTGGAATAAAAATCAAATATGACATGGAAAATCCAGCGCTGCATTTTACAGTTGCAGTGATACTGCAGTGACAGAAGGGGGCGATAAAGAACCATTGCATGTATTAAGCAACAAGTTATTGTATACAGAAAATTTTAGAGTCGTGGCAATTTATATACATATTTGTATATGCACAAAAGCAGACCAGTACAAATCATACGCACATGAAAATCACTGGAAAAACAGTCCTAACCTAAACCCCAAGAGGTCCAGTGAGGTAATCCATCCGTATCGATCTGTTTAACCATCAGATGCATGATATATATTGTAGGTTTCATGAGTTTGTTGCAGTTGCAAATGGAGAAGTATCCAGAGTAGAAGAGGCCCTTAAAATGTCTTTTAAATTAAGAAATTCATCAGTCCTAATACTTTAAGTCCAGTTACTTCTTCCTACATACAAGCGTCCATCCATCATCCTCTTCCTCATGACTGGTGTCCTGTGGAAGCTGCTCCATCACTGCTGAGCTGCTGACTGATGGTCCCTCTGCACCTCCAGCACAATCCATAGCCTGAGAGAAAACCACCAGACAGCGGATTACAATCTTAAAGGGGACGTTTGGATGTAGTACGCAAGTAAAAATGTTCCATTCATCTATAGACACATACATATCAATATATAATACCAGTCAAAAGTTTGGAAACTACTATTTTTAATGTTTTTGAAAGTCTTATGCTCATCAAGCCTGTATTAATTTGATCAAAAAATTATGAATTTCATTCATTGCTGAATAAAAAGAACAGCATTTCTTCAAATTAGAAATATTTAATGAAAATTCAGCTTTGCATAACAAAAATAAATCATTTTTTAAAGTATATTAAAATAGAAAACCATTATTTTAAATTGTAGTAATATTTCACAATATTACTATTTTTGGATTTTTGATCAAATAAACAGGCTTGAGCAGAAGAGACTTTTTTTTAAAAAAAACATTAAAAAAAATGTTCTCTCTCTCTATATATATATATATATATATATATACGCAAATACACACACACACACACACAGTATGTCACAAAAGTGAGTACACCCCTCACATTTCAGCAAATATTTTAGTACATCTTCTCAAGGGACAATACTATAGAAGTGAAACTTGGATATATTTTAGAGTAGTCAATGTGCTGCTTGTTTAGCAGTATATATTTACTGTCCTCTGAAAATAACTCAACATACAGCCATTATTGTCAAAATAGCTGGAAACAAAAGTGAGCACACCCTAAGTGAACATGTCAAAACTGTGTCCAAAGTGTCAATATTTTGTGTGAGCACATTGTTATCTAGCACTGCCTTAATCCTCCTGGCCATGGAGTTCACCAGAGCTGGACAGGGTGTTGCTGAGATCCTCTTCCACTCCTCCATAATGACATCATGGAGCTGCTGGATGTTAGACACAGGACACTTCTCCTTCCGCTTGAGGACGCCCCACAGCTGCTCAATAGGGTTCAGGTCTGGAGACATACTTGATCACTCATCACCTTCACCTTCAGCTACCTCAGCAGGGCAGTTGTCATCTTGGCGGTGTGTTTGGGGCCGTTATCATGCCGTTCGGCCCAGTTTCTGAAGGGAGGGTATCATGTTCTGCTTCAGAATGTCACAGTAAATAGCCGCTTTCCGACCGGAGGGACTTTTGCAGTTCCTAGAACCTAACGTTCCTATAACCCTTTTTTTCGCGTGTTCCGACCGGACTAAGTTGGGGATTTTTTAGTTCCTCAGACTGTAGTTCCTATAACTCTTTCAGTACCTAGTCTAGAGCGAGGACTTTTTTAGTTCCCTTTCCCTAGGTCTACGTTGATTGGTTCAACTTATAAGTCACGCCCACTGTCAACACATTTTCTTCACTGTCTGTTGCAATTCGCCTATGTAGGCTATGCTAACTCATAACTTAAGACAAACATAACGCATTCAACCAGCTAATTGCTAATGCTTGCTAAACTTACCCGTCGTTTTGTTTGCCTCCTGCGCTCTGCTCTTCTATCTTCTTCCATCATATTACTTAAGATCATATTACGCTGGAGCCTTCGTCTTCTGTGTTTCTCTGAACAGAACTCAAGATCTTTAAACGCCGCCGATCGTACTCCGTTATTAAGCTCCCGGCAAGGCAGAACAGGAACATTCCGATAGCCTCCTCCATGCTGGTTTGTTGTTGTTGTATGTGGCGCCGCCATGCTTGCGTCACTCCCTTACCCCTCCTACCAGTTCCTATGGCCACTTGGCCAGTGCGAACGCAAACAGCAAAACCGAGTTTGGGGGAGAGTAGTTCTTAGAACTGTTTAGAAGTGGACAGTTCCTATAACTAAGTTCCTGTAACTACTTGGTCGGAAAGCGGCTAATGTTGGAATCCATGTTTCCCTCAATGAAGCGCAGCTCCCCAGTACCAGCAGCACTTGTGCAGCCCCAGAACATGATGCTCCCACCACCATGATTGGACCATGTGTTACAATCCTGCTGCAACACTGCAATTTCCCCTTGGGGATTAATAAAGTTTTTCTATTCTATTCTATTGACTGAAGGCAAGACACAATTTTCTTAGTACTCCTCACATGCTGGACACCGTCTGACCAAACAAGTTCATCTTAGTCTCATCAGACCACAGGACATGGCTCCAGTAAATCATGCACTTGGACAGGTTTCTTTCAGCAAACTGTTTGCGGGCTTTCTTGTGAGCCAGCTTCAGAAGAGTCTTCCTTCTGGGACGACGGCCATGCAAACCGACTTGTTGCAGTGTGTGGCGTATGGTCTGAGCACTGACAAGCTGACCTTCCGCTTCTGCAACCTCTAAAGCAATGCTGGCACGATCATGCGTCTGTTTTCTGAAGCCAGCTTCTGCACCTGACGCTCACCACAAGGACTCAACTTCTTTGATTGACCCTCGCGAGGCCTGTAACAAGTGGACCCGTCTTGGAAAACCTCTGTATGATGCTGGCCACTACTGTAACTCAGTTTCAGGGTGTTGCCAATCTTCTTATAGCCTTGGCCATCTTTGTGGAGAGCAACAATTCTAATTCTCAAATCCTTAGAGAGTTCTTTGCCATGTTGAACATCCAGTGGTCAGTATGAGAGAATTGTACTCAAAGCACAAATTTTAACTGCTCTAATACAAGATACACAAATTTGTATGGTCCTGTCAAGCAGACAAAAACATGAACATGATGAATAGGACGCATGTTAAACGACGTACAGCTAGTATCACTTAGGGTGTACTCACTTTTGTTGAGTATTTTTCGTATTTTCAGAGGACAGTAAATATATACTGCTAAACAAGCAGCACATTGACTACTCTAAAATATATCCACGTTTCATTTCTATAGTATTGTCCCTTGAGAAGATATATTAAAATGTTTGCTGAAATGTGAGGGTTGTACTCACTTTTGTGAGATACTGTATATATATATATATATATACACACTGTACCTCTTCATCTTCACACTCATTATCATCATCATCATCATCATCATCAGGTGTTTTGCCAGGTGTGGCCTTTGCCCTCCCAGCGCTCTTCTTCAGAATCAGCTGGTTGATCTGTTCTCTGACGTCCGTCAGTTTGCCCTGCTGACACTGCTGGAACATCACACACACCTTCTGTGCCACCTGAGCAAGAGCAAGACCAGAAGAGTTTCACGAACATACATGTACCATCTGTACGCAGATGTGATCCTAATCTATTCAAAGAGCAAGCAAACCTGAGGCAAGCTGCCATCATCCACCATCGTGTCGAACTCGTTGTTCATGAGGTGTGAGATGAAATCCTCCACTTCGTCCTGCAGCAGCTCATCTGTGGGGAACACACACATTAGAACATATCCTACAGTGTCAGTGGGAATCATTTGACGGTTCTGACCGTTGTCGTTGAAATACTGCTGCAGCGCGTCCACCATCCACTCCGCTTTCTGCTGACTGTAAGCTCCACCAAAACCATTATCGACCGCGATCTGGGAGAAAACACTGAGCTCGTTAAATCCGCAATCCATTACATCTATAAATCAGAAGTTGGTGCAGCCGCTGCCAGGAGGAAGATCACATCGAGCTAAGCATAATCACAATCCCTGTGCAGCTAGACTAAATATCGCGACAAGAAGACGTGACTTAAAGCAAGGGTACTACATATGTGTTTATTGTAGAATAATTTCGTGTTTATACTTTGAAGCGCTAACAGGCTAACCTGTTAGCAGTCAGATTTTTTATTTTAAAGTGAAAATTGCCGCATAATATGACAATATTCAACGAATAATATATTTTTCGGAATGTAACGTTATGAATGTACTAACTTGCAGCACCGGCCACGTTTCCAAAACAGCCCGAACTGCTTCACTGAACAATTCACGTGTGGAAGATGTGAGCGGCGCCATCTTGAAAATTAACAGACCTGAAGAGTCGATCACAGATTTCAGAGACTGGTGACGAATAAGGCGAAATAATCAATCACAGAAACCGCTTTACCAGTAACTAGAGAAAGAGTTGCGACACTCTTTGATGTCGCCGCGATGGCTGTCACGTGGTTCATGTAAGCCCCGCGGGCTGTCATGTTCTTCCATGGGACAGACAGCAGCGATTGCATTATTGAACGGTAAATATAAAATAAAACACACACCCAAGTACTTTTTCAGCTGTTACTGAATTATTGCATTTTATTAATGTCAGTTTTGCATTTGGAGAGGCAGCGGGTGACAACGAAATACTGTATATTACTTAGATAAGTTTTAGGCTTTTTTTTTCGGAGGGAAAAGCTTATTGTTCATATTCGCATGGTATAGCACTGGCTTTAGCGGCTTTCATCTGATGATGATGGACGTCTCATGAGATTTATTTTAGCACAACTGGGCTGTATTAGGCTATTGATTCCCGTGATCTTGCTTATAAATTCCGATTCAGCCATTAGCCTACCTTCGTGATCACGCAAAGAGGTCGGCAGTGGCGGTCCATTCAGAACTCCAACCAACATAAAATATAAATTATTACGCTGTGCATGTACAAATTAAATGATTTAGGAGGGAAATTAGACTGCTCCCATAACGTAGAAAGCAACGACTTTCGGTAAATATTAACTTCATAAAATGAAACCGAAGAGATAGTTAATGAGTGAATTAACTATGTTCCTAAATACGATCCATAACATGTATGTTTTTAACATACGATCCATAACTGTTAACGGGATTCATTTCAGTATGGCTAATGTACCCCTTCCTCCTACCCTAATCATAGACTAAACCATTCATCAGAAAACACACACAAATACATGTATACGATGTACTTTGTACAGTACACGTGTATATATATTTACACACATAATCACACACAACTAACCCTAACCCATAATATATTGTGTATGTATATATACTATATATATATATATATATATATATATGCATGTATGTATGTATATATACTATATATATATTCATGTAGCCTATGTATGCATACACACACATAACCCATTTAAATAAATTAATTGTGTGTGTGTGTATATACACTATAATATTATATATATATATATATATATATAAAATATTATTATTAATAATATTATATACATCAGGTTACCGTAAGTTAGCTAACGTTAGTGAAGTGTTGGTCACGTAAGCTATAGCTGCAATTAACCTATTATCTTCCAATAAACATTAACTAAAACTGGCTACATAAAATATAACTACTGAGTAGATTCACGAGAGGTCGGCTAATGTGTGTAAAAGTAAAAAAAACAACAACAAAAAAACAGTAATTTCATTAATTTACCAGCGAGCGTACTTCGGAAATACTGATAGTTCCTTCCAGCATTGAACCCCATTCATTTTCAGTGTTTGGAACTATTGGCTGCTTCCTATGGCTGTCTACGGGTGTGTGTGTGTGTGTGTGTGTCTATCTATCTATCTATCTATCTATCTATCTATCTATCTATCTATCTATCTATAACAAGAATGCATTAAAGTGACATTAAAGACTTTTGACATACGAAGGTATATATATATATATATATATATATATAATCTATACACAATTGATATTCATTACATTTTTTAGACAAGCAGAAAAGAATTTATATACCCCTAGAAGAGAAGACACAAATAATTGGACCTGGTACAAATTATTATTCAGAAATGTACATACCTTTATTGAATTGTATATCTTTGATACAATTAATGAACAGAATAATAACATTTTTAAAGATGAGTCTGGGAATACTGGGGTTATAAGTATGTGGGTTTTATTATAACAGTAATTCTCTGCAGTAAAACTGGCTCAGTAAGAAACACAAAGCAGGGTGTCAGCATTATAACATTCCTCGGAAAAATTAAACACCAACCCATGCAAGGCTTCGGATAACTTTGGCATGGACCAATAGCAAAAGCTGAAAAGCAGTCAACAAATCAAGCTGCTGTATAATACATGTTGAGGCGCATATTAACTACTCAGAAATCTTGAAATGAGAAAGAACTGCGGTGATTTATGCAGTGAAATTCTCATTTTAAATATGTGGCTGCTAAGAACATCACAAAAATATTGTCAATGCACAATGGAAGGACTTTATATAGATTTTAAATAAGTTCTTCTGTCACTTTTCAGGTTCATCCTGGTGGTCACTGTGTGAGCCATGTATGTAATCATAAATATATGATTTCCTTCAAGGATAACACTTAAAATATGGTATTTTTAAAATATGGTCATATTGATGGGTCATATTTCATAGTGGTATCAGTTTGGTGCCATTTCTCTTGGTTATTTGATTTATCGACTGTATTCACAATGCAAACAAACTTTTCATACCAAAATTAATCACTTTTCATATCTGTATTTTTTTTTTTTACGGAATCTGAAAGGCACATTTCAAAGTTGCTCCAAAACCAAGTTTGTTTATACCTTTTGGATTTGCATATCCATTTTATAGAGGTGGCTGAACACATAAAAACTCATGCATATATAAGTCAATATTAAGCCATCTTTATTTGTGAAAAATGAATGTGTCCAACTATGGGTGATATACAAGTTGAGATTTTATAGTTTGTTTGTTGGGTTTTCAAGCTATTTTAAAATAAATCCACAAGCTGACAAAAGACTTGTTAGGTACTGTTGTGGCTGATCTGAAAATGTGTGGATTTATTTAAGTATATATTGGGAATTATTTTCAATATGTAATCACCATACAAACAATGTATGAATTAGTGCGGTCAAATCGATTAACCACATCGAACAAAGGTTTGCAAGTGTGTGTATATGTATGTGTGTATAAATATGTGTATATATATGTGTGTGTGTGTATATATATATATATATATATATATATATATACACACATATACACACATACATAAATACACACACACATATATATACAAACTTTTATGTTAGATGTAATTAATCGTGGTTAATCGCTTTGACAGCACTAATATGAATATTATTACATTTAAATATGTTACAAAAAGTAAAACAAAATTGAAGTTAGGGACATTGATTATATTGCCAGCGAAAATGATTCACATTTGTTCTGCTCAACCTGAATGTTTTACAGCTTGTTTGTGCCAATGTTCTCCATCCACGTCTTGCTTTATAATTGACAGAATTGGTTGCAAATGAGCTTTCATACAAGCAACATGAAGAAACAGTCAGTCATTGTTGTGTAGTGTAATTATTGATTTCAACATACTTCTGAACCACATATTCTTGTGTGAAAAGATTTGACTATTGCAATAAAGAACTCCGATTAAAAAGAATAGAGGGAAGAAGAGGAGTTAAACAATGCATCAAACAGTTGTTATTTGTGGTTAACATCTCTAGACTCAAACGAGTGACCACTCATATATGCATACTTATTTACTTACTGTCAATCAGAAAATATACTATGGCTATCTGAGAGGATTTCCTGCATTAGATATCCTTGAGATGTGAAATGTGCATTAACAGTGAGTATTGCTTAAGGTGTTTGTTTAAACGGCTTTTAACATATTTATATAACAGCAGACCTCATTGCTCCCTTCATGCCTTCACACATGGACAAACGCCAACTGGAGAAGAGCAGTAAAATGGCTAAGAATCCACAAACTTTGGGCTCTTTTAGTGTATACAATTGCAAAATAAAAAAGCTAAAGCAAATAATACTGTACTGATCAATTATCAAATTTTGTTTCGCATAAAATGCCCATTCAAAAAGGTTGAGTTGTACAAAAGAAACATACTGAAAACCGTATGAAGTCCATATTGGCTCAAAGTGTCTCCATGTATAAAAGCATTTCACCTGCAATCATATCAAAACCTCATTCGATTCCTCATACAATGGGCAATAAAACAGCCTTGAGTTTTTGCATGACAATTGTTTGCTTTTTGTATATTTGTATACATGCAATGCTTACCGAAAATCAGTATCAAATTCTTTTCAAATCAAGAGGGTTTTGGTATTTAAAAAAAAAAAAAAAAGTTATTGCGTAAAATTAGCAATTATTGCGCAGTAATGAACAGTTGGCTTCCTCTCAACCACATTTATCCACTGAAGCCCTTTCACCGTAATCCATCCGCATTCCAGATGAAAGCTTTATGAGCCGTTGTCATCCTTATGAACTAACAAACATCGAAACCAAATATCTACAACCACATGAGTCTCCTATGGTGGTAACGTCTGGTTACTACATATTAAAAAAAACAATGACCAACGTCATCAATGATAAGTATAACAAAAATGATATTTTTCTTTGCTTTAAAAATTATACATTATTAGGAGGGTCTTCTCATTGCACTCTCTGATCTTCACAAAAAACAAAAACATTCTAAGGCTATTTACAAAGTACCACAGTCTTCAACTTTACAACACTGCCATGCAAGTCTGCATTCCCCTCATGGAGAGCGTCTCTCTCTCTCACACACACACATATGCAGCACAGGTATTCACAGGTCATCTCCAGCAGGAGGAAGGGAAGTCACAATCTATCACCAGACCAAACTTTTTTGGGATTGCTTGAATTAATTTTAAAAAAATTATATATTTACTAAAATATCATCACTAATATCAAGTCTAAAACACCTCTGCATTCAGCTCTAATGGGGTGAATCTTGCGCGGAAAAAAAAATCCAGTCTCATTTCACACTAAAATAGAGAAAAGAAAATAAGACATTATATTTTGCATAAAAACAATGGAGCTTCTTATTTAGGAACTTTTTTGTCTTTTCCATGGTGACATTATTTTTTAGACATTTTTTGCCAATTAAGCACATTTCCACACTAATTACTGTAATGCGCCTGGAAGTTTTAGTCATTCTCTTAATACAGTAAATAATGCTGTATTACAGTAAAAAGTTGCTGTGAAATGATGTACATCAGCAAAGACGGTATAACAAATACTACCATATATATATATATAGATATATGCTTTTAAAAAAATACAATATATTACATACGCTGTATAAAAAGGTTGTAATTTATTCAGATAC